GCTCTCTATCTCCTTTCATGTCCGAGTTTGTCCTTGCTAACTTTTACCCAGCAATTTATAATCTACAATCTTTCTACTCCAGTGCATCATCTGCCCTACAAAGCATGGAAACAAAATTGACCTCTGTTATGGCCCTATTAAAGATGCACATAAATCTCTAGCAATCACCCCCATCAGGTCAACTGAAACTTATTTGAACTTTCACGCTGGATCAGCGATAAGAAGGTCAATACTGCAGTTACAGCGGTTTCAAACATTTTTTTAAAACCTCACAATGAGGCACTACTTGCAACAGCTACTCACTTGTCACATACCGCTTATGTCAATTGATGACAAGTTTAAAACAAGAGTGATAGTAAAATAGTAAGATAGAATACTTTTTAGAGGCCTGAGGTAGTGAAATTGAGCAAGGATTCACTATAATAAGTCAGAGATCAGAGCAGAGGCTGGTCCTGGTACTCATCAAAGGGTCGTAAGGTTCATCTAGATGAACTATACGACCCCTTGTGGTGGTCTCTTTCTGGCATAAAGACCCTGGAGCTCCATTTTCCAAACAGCTAGATGTGTATCTCTGTATTTGGATTGAAAAATCCCCCCCGCAACTGAGATATAATAATGTCTTTCAGGACACAGAGTTAAAAATGGCTTCTATTGTTTCTGTGACATAATATTTTAAAGATGGAGTTTATTCAGATTTTGGCTGACTATTGTAGCTAATAAATTCCACTGCTTAAAAAAATCCATCATCAGTTCATAATTCACCCCTGTGAATAATGTTAGTCTATTTATTTTAGCAAGCGATGATCAGTTTAAAACTGATTACAGCACGGTGCACTACCCAGACCAGAGAATCAGCAAAACAACCAGCATGCACCTTACAATTGTTCTGATCTTTATCAAAGAAATGGCCCCCTGCACCAGATGGTGTGTACACAGTCTTGCGCAGCACCCTGGCTCCACTGTTATAACCATATCTTTGACAAGCCTCCCTGTTGCATTGAACTATTCTCATTCGTCCCTGTGCTGGCTGCAAAGGCAGATCTGATTTGGTTTAATGAGTGAAAAGCCGGAGGTCAGTGAAAAAGAGAAATAATGACACATTGGCAGTACTGCATGGGCTGTAAAAATGTTAAACCAGAAAACACAAAAAATAAATAAATAAATAAATAACAAAACAAACTCTCTGCCCCTGTATTTGGGCTCTATAATATACAAATTTATGGCAATTTCTTTTTTATGCTCTGACCCTTCTTCGGTCATATTTGAATCCATAACTGATTTTTCAAAATAAAATATGTAAACTCTGATGTTTAAGAAAAAGGTACAACATTTTTCATTTTATTTGAAACCTGGATTATTGCCTTCCAGGTCTAAACTTGCAAAAAGCAATGGTGACGGAAAGGCATTATATGGAGTTTCTCCTGCCTCCGTTGGGGATTTGTGGTAATCTCCTTTACAATGAGTCATGGGTAGATTACCATATCGCTTGCTGTAGGACAGGATATCCTATATGGGCTATGCTAATAGGTGAAACTGAGGAGGCTTGCCGTTTAGAACAGTGCTTACCTGTACCTGGGAAACACATTCCTGAGAGTGTGCAGTGGTATTAATGTATCAGCCACTCCTCCTGTGCACACAGAAAAACCTAATCTGCATGCTTATGTAATGGCTTCTGCTATCAAACATCTCTTTACACATTTATGACGTTCAGTATTTACATGTGATAAAAGTGTGTCGGCTGTGTTTGCCTTTCACACACATCAGGAGTAGACATCAACAAACAGGGGTGCACAGATCAAATAGTAATCTGAATAGTGTGTCTGCTCTGTGCATGACAATGCAAATACCAATGTGAGTATGTGTATGTATGAGGCACCTTGATTCTCTGCTATTCTTTGTTTAATTACAAATGCAGTATTTGCATTAAATGTAGAGCATTTGCTAGTTTTTTCATGTCTATTGAGCCAAGAGTGTTACAAAACTCAAAAGTCTCAAAATAATTGATATGCCCATTTTGTTTTCTCTGGGTAGTTTGCCAGCTGAGCACCAAGGGCAAAACACTCCTGAAATATGAATTACGTTTTGATATACTGGTATTAACAGGATTCATACTATTTACATTAGCGTCACGAGCAAAGGAGACAACTTTTTTATCATCATATTTTGGATAATTTCACAAGAGCATAGTCCCGGGCTATTCAACTCTAACTTTCAGAGGGGCAAAGTTTCAGAAAGCTAAGGACCCGGGGGACAGACAACAAGCTAGCCGTAGCAGTACACTGCGCGATAGCCGTTTTCACCATCAACAACACAAACTTAGGCTGCGAGCACAGGACCAAAGATTTGTCCAAATGGCTATTAGAGCTCAGACACTTGTAGCTACTCTTAAAAACAGAATAATCACAAAACCTATTGAGCCTATGCTCCTATTTCCTATTCACTAAGAATAGTTGATTACAAGGTGCTTTAATATTGATGAATTTCTGTGGACTTGCTCCCACTTCTTGTCAAATTAAATGCTCAACATCAGGAGCGATGTGGCTCTGTGTGCTGCAGCCGTGGGCCGACTTCATCCTCAGAAAGCCAATGAATTTGTTCCAATGTTGTTAGCAAGCCATCGGGTGTATCTGAATGCATGCCTGAGCTCGTTGCACTGATTACACTGAGGGCCAGGAACAAGGCCTCAGTAGGCTAATTAGAACAAGCAAACCGTCACAAGCTAGCATTGAGACAGAGCATGACCCTGTAAACTTGCGTAGTAAACACATGGCATTACAAACTTTGCAGACTCACTGGTGTGTGAATAATCTCCCTCCATTAAACCTTCAGAGATTTATGAATCCCTGTGAAGTATACAGCAATAGTTCTGTCATGATTTATAGCCACAGGTATATTTTAGAATTACTGCTGCATAAAATGACTTCACATAAACTCAAACTGTGGCAGATGCTGTTTTGAAGGATGTATAAATGCAACTCGATTAACCCTGAGGCAAAGATTATACGATACAGAGGTGCAGAAAGACATTTCTGTTATATCTGTTCATAAAGCTACAGTACTACATCTTTAAATGAGCATACCGCATCTACTGCATTATGTCAGCTATTTGTGTCAACGCTTAACCTCTACTATTCATATTTGGGAAATGCACCTTGATATCAGCAATAATGTTACAGCTATGCTATAGTCTCTGTGAGACTACTGAGCCACAGCAATGCTTGGAGAAAGATGCTATCAGCATGCTAAAATGCTCACTTTGCTTACGTGTTCATAGGCAGTCCAATTCTCACAGCAGGAAGACAGAATGTAGGAAAACTTTGATTACAGTCCCTCTGTCTGCTAGTCTGCAAAAAGCATTTTTAATGTCTTGTGTGCTCAGTGTTAATTACTGTTAAATTAATAGCTAATAATTATAGAACACTGTCACTGCAAAAACATGGTTCTAAAGTTGTTGTTTTTTTGTGGGGCTTATTACGCCTTTACATAGAGATAGGACAGTGGATAGGGTTAGAATGACATATAGGGAAGGAGCCACAGGTAGGATTCAAACCCTGGCCGCCCGCTTGGAAGACCACAGCCTCCGTATATGGGGCGCGCAATAACCACTAGGCTACCGGTGCCCCTGGTACATGGTCCTATGACGAACCCAAAAAGTTCCAGAGGGTTTTTGCCATTTTCACTAAGCAGGTCAAATATTTTGAAATCATAATGGCTGTAATGTTTTCATGTCTTGGTCAGGTAAAATAGGACATGATATTTTTTCTTAAGTTAAGTTTAATAAGTTTTTCTTCAAAAACCCACTAAATACACTCTCCCTGCTCTCTGAACCATTAAATATGAATGAATACTCAATTTTCTAATTCCTGTTAAACTATTTCAACATTCAAAGTAGTGTATAATATATTAGTAGTTTAAATTTCTAAACTGACTGGGACCATACTGTGGATGTATTGAATATGAACAGTCTGTAAGGGTTAAGTATACATACAGCATAAGTGGGGGTAGTGTTCACTGTTGATCAAGATCCAGAGATCCTCCTACTGTCAGTGATGAAAGTGTCACAAATTTACAGTTGAAAAAAAAAGGACCTTCTGAAATATAAGTCACTCTGCAAGTTTTTTGTTGTTGTTGCAGGTGTTTCTTGTATATTTTTCCAGCAGCAAAGTGCAGAGGCATGTCTTGATCCTTTAGGACACCAGACTTGTTGTTGTGTTGGGAACAAGGTTCCCTCCTGACCTATTTTCTGAGCAGCTTTTTCATGCTACTTCACTCTACCATTCAGCCTCTGCTCCTTTCTGATCTTCAGTCTCCAAAGAGTTCTGTGAACTTGATTGGCATTCGCCGAGTTTGATTGACTGCAGGACACTTTTTGTAAATGTCATTCCGGATGTGTTAGATGTGTCAATCTCAGATCAACCCAGAAACAAATGAAGAGAATGTGCTGCAGTTTTTCCATTTCCTTCTGCCTTTTTTCGTTACAATAACTGTCATCTTTGAAACCATGGTGTTTTTTTTTTGCAGTTTATGTTGACAGGTGAGAAAGTGGGCTCAAGAAAACTGTCAGTTTCCCAGACTTGTTGTCATACTTCCCACTACTTTTCAGAGAATACAGTAGCTATCCGTATCCCCATGTACGGTGACCTGTCATCGCTTTTATTTAGAGTGAAAGCTGGCTGTACAAAGTAGGCTTCATTCTGACAGACCTCATTCACTGCAGACATTGTATTATCATGAGCTGACTGTTGAGTGCCACTGCTATGTGCTGCATTATATTCAACATTCATTCCCATTATATAATCCAAGGACTGAATCTTATATCTCTAAACATGCTCTCCTTGTCGTGCAGACAGTGATGTATCTACTGTTAAACACTGTTCATGTTGCTGAAGCCCTTGACATTGAGGCAAAGGTCAAGCAGCAGAAATACTCAAAGCCTGGAATTATGCTGCAGAAAACACATCACAGAAGGTTAGAACTTTATTGTACGGTGTGTACACTTTTTTTTTGGTTGTCCTTTTCCCATTATTTGGGGTCCTGATGTGTCAGTGAATAAATACTCACTGACAGGTTGAGTCTGCAGGTTGTAAATGGGTTGGAAAATACTGCGTTCTGTTACAAATGTCAATATAAAAACACTTTGATCACACTGTCTTCATTCCCAGCTGAAATACAGCGATGACATACACATGGGTATTATATCTTTAATGTCATTTGATAGATTCTCCAGCTCTGTTAGATACAAAATAGACAAAAATAATTTGATAGATTTTTCAGAAATTTCCCCAAAAACATTATAGAGTGATCACAACATAAAATAATCAATGACAATCGTTATTCTTTTTTTTTTTTTTTTTTAAGTAAAACGCTATTAGCAAAATAATTGATTTTTTACTCTTTATCATATACTATATAATCACCATTTCTTTATATACTCACCATGACTTCCCTTTAACATCATAGTGAAACGAACAACAATCTTTGTGATCTGTTTTAGGATAATCAAAAAAAAAAACAACAACAAAAAAATGAGGCTGAGAAATTAAAGAAAAAAACATGGAATCACTTCATAAAACAGGCCCATCTTCCGTGGTAGATAAAGATAAAGATAAAAAAAAAATCATGTCGAGCACAGTTCACATAAAGTGACATATTTCTTTGAGGCACTCACTGCCTTGCAGCTCTTAGTTCCTGTCTCTATTAGCCCTGTCGGTGATAAACTCTTGGTAAAAGTAAGTTCTAACATAATATGATGAAATGAAAATTGGACTCGAAGTGCAATCATCTGTCATGGACAGTGATGTGAGCTTGTCCAGTTGAGGCACACAATCATTTGTTCAATATTTTTTTCTAAACAAACGCAACATGATAAAGACAGGAACATTACGAAAAAAGGAAATTCATTTCCTGCATTTCCAGTCAGAGTTTTGTCATTGGTATGTGCAGGCTGTTCCACGGTCCCATCCATAGCTCGTCCTCGTCCGATAACGTGTGGTCACTGTGGGACTCCAGTGTCTCCCTGCTGGCCTTGTGGTTGTCAACACAAGTCTCTTGCTCCTCATTGACACATGGGCCCACGCTGTTCCTGTCAATCAAGGTCTTGGCAATATTGTTTCTGGACCCAAAACTTCTAAGAATTGTGTTGGTGGATCCCAGCGTGCCACAGGACTGAGTGTTTAAGTTGACATCCACACTAGAGGAGACACATGTGCCGGTTCCATTTTCTGTGTTGTTTCCTGTACCCTCGATGCTAATGATGGGAGGGGGTTCTTCATGTGTCACTCCCAACTTGTCTAGTTTTTTAAAATGCTTACCGAGCCGGCAAGGAGAGCCCACCTTCAGGTTGTTCGGGTGGGGCTGTCGCCTAGTTCGGACGATAGTTCCGTTCTGTGAGAGGTAGATGTTCCCGTTGATGTTGCTGTGGCTGTTGGGGAGTCTGTTCCTCTGAGTTTCCGTGGCGCTCTCCTCTCCTGTCGAGCTGGTTTCGTTCTCTCGATCTACAACCAGCTTTATCCGCTTCTTTATCCCAACCTGAATAGGGAGAAAAATAAATCAGAAAGAATATTTTGTTTTTTTGCACAAGGAACATAATCTTGAAATTCTTTTAATAAAACAAGCACTGCAGATAGATGTGTTGTACACAAAGTATCAAGATCACAGCACTCAAGAGAAATTCTCGCCATAATTTCCTTCCATGATAAAAAAATAATAACTCAATTACCACTTCTCCTGGGAGAGATTGTGTATTAATGGGTCATACTTTGTGATCTTATGATAACTCTTTCTTCTCATGGTCATTATGAAAAGATTTTATGTTTAGTAACCAAAAAGGGATGAAACAATAAGCCTCTCTAAATGAGATTTAGAGCTTCTCTTACTGCCTAGCTGTAGTATAGGTCTTAAGCTCCGCCTCCTCCATGTTAACAGATGGGATATGGGCAAACTTTAGAAATTAAAATACACATCAAATACATTTTTTTTTCCCAAACCTGGATTCTTTCATGTCATGAAGGTTAGTTTTTATCACTCTGAGGGCTCTCTGAGATTGTATCAGTTAGATGAATGTGTTTAAAAGCAAGAGAAATTCTTTAGACAAAAGTAGTAACCCAGATTTTATCCTCAGGTATTCATGGAAGATATTTTATGGCGAGGAATCTTGAATTTTTGGGGAAAAGAGTAATTATGTATGTCCCTAGAAAGTGAAGTATTCAGTCAAATATTCAGTCCAGACAGATAGTATATAAACTCTCACAGCAAAGCAGACAAAAGAGCAAAGGTCTTGCACTGGAAGTAAATACATTCGACCACAGAACACATCAGAGAGAAGAAGAAGTCAAAGATGTAAGAAAAAGAGCAAAAAAACTCTGGTGGTTTCCTGCAGCAGAGAATCAGAGGTTTTGTCTTGCTGAGGGTGAATGAGAAAAAAAGGTTGGACATTTGAAACACTCTGTAGTAGGAAGCAGTATTTCTTCACTCCCATGCAAGGGTAATTGATTTTATTCACCCTTACTTCACAGCGGATTATACGTCTCTCTAGAAGGCGGTGGAGTTTCCTTCAGACTCTGAATCAGCATCTGATGTCTCTTCTGTTTCCCCTGAACTCTTCGTTGCATTGCCGGTCTCAGACTCAGAGACGCTTGTTAAAGATTTGTCTGAAGAGATGGCGTCCTCGTCCACCTCAGTGATCGGGGACAGTCCTCCGTATGTCTCTAAAGAGGTCTCCCCGATGCTTCTGATCTCCGAGGTGAATGGGGGACTAGTGTAAGAGGTAGAGGGCCCAGGATCTCCAGATGCCACACTGGACCTCCTGGAAGACCCGCTATCGCTGAGCTCGCCAGACGACTCTTTGCTCTCGTCAGCAGTTTCAGATTCTTCTTCTTCTTCTTCGCTCTCCTCAGTGATCGTTTCCTCAGATCTCCCACGGCTTAGGGAAGACTTTTGGGAGTGCCGGCTACCACTGGTGGACCGGGAACGAACTGAACTCTGCCCACTTCCTAAGGAACTCTGATCTGTCATATGACTACCTGATGAAGACCCACCAATAGACTCTGACCCGGACATTTCTTTCTGGCTGGATCGAAGAGATGAAGACTCTTCATGTCCTGAACCTGACCCTGACTTTGCCTCGCTGGCTGTCCCTGACCCTTTCCCTGACCCTGACCCTGACCCTGACCCTGACCCTGACCCTGACTCAGCCTCGCTGGCTGTCTCTGTCCCTGACCCTGACTCTGCCTCGCTGGCTGTCCCTGTCCCTGATTCGGCCTCACTAAGTTCTTCACTGGATTTCTCTGAAGTTACACCGCTCCCTGATGATCTGGTTCTCTGTGATGACTTAACACTTGAGCCAGAAAGGGATCCAGCAGTGCTAGCACTCCCACTGCCACTCTTACTTTTGCTTTCACTTCTATCTGTCCCGCTCCCACTCCTCGCCCCGCTTCCACTTCCGCTACTGCTCACACCTGACGCGCCGCTTCCTTTACTAGCCTCGGTGGCCGATGATCTCATGGAAGAGCGGGCAGAGGAGCCACTTTCTCTAGTGCTACCTGAGGCCTCTTCTTCCCCAGACTCTTCATCAGAGTCTCTCTCTGTTCCTGAACCCTTTTCTGTGCTTGTTTCCTTCTCTGTCGCCGTACCTGATTCTGACTCTGATTCTTTCTCTGACTCTGATTCTTTTTCAGTCCCAGATTCTTTCCCACTCACGGATTCCTTCTCCGTCTCTTCTTCTTCATCATCTTCGGATTTGGACTTGCTTTCCTCATCAGAATCCCCTGGCTCATCATCAGGCTCTTCCTCTGAGTCCACTGTGCTTTCGTTGGCATCGTCCCGGTCTAAATCTACTTTCAGATAATCTCTGTCAATGCTGCTTTTCTCTGATGATTCTTCATCAGAGCCTTTCTCCTTACTGCTTCCACTTGTACCTGCTTCTGGCTCACTTTCTGTCACACTAATGGACACTTTAGACTTCGTTTCATCCTCGCTCGCTACTTGTGAGGCCTCTTCGTCTCTCTCGCTGCCTGTGGCCGAGCTTCGACTCACGCTGCTCTGCGACTTCCTCCGCATCTGCAACTTTTTGCCCAAGTTGATCTTCTTCAAAACTTTGCCAAGGCGGCTGCGGGTATCTGACTTGCTGTCGATAGGTCCCATCAGTGCCGGTCCGTCAGTCAGACTCTCCTGGCTGTCAATTCTGCGAGCTGACATCAGTTTGGCGTAATCCTTGTCCTTCTTCCCGGCACCGAACATCTTGAACATCTTGGCTTTTTTCCACGGAGACGGGCCAGAAGGACCGGCATCAGATGGCTTTTCTCCTCCCTTGCTCGCCGCCAAGAGTTTGCTGAGCTTCATGACAGACTTCAGTCTCTTGGCAGCCTGCGAAGGCTCGCCCTCCGCCCCTGGTTCAGCTTGTTCAATTTCCTCCTCTGGCGGCATGTCCCTAAATGCAACCCTCTTTCCTGGACCTCTACCCCGCATGCCACCACGGCCTCTGCCACGGCCCTAAGACAGTCATGTTTCATTAAAAAACCTTGTCACAATGTTGGAATGTAACACAGGGTTTATGCTGCTGTTTCAATAATACATTTGACACACAACCTGTTATGGTAATAATAATTGACATTTTCACTGAGAGTATAAAAAGATATTACCTCGGGGCCATGAGGACTGTAGAAATACCCATCATCCTCCACGATCACCTCCCCGTATTCATCATACATGGGAGTTATCAGCCTCCGTCGACTGCCGTATTGAGGAAGGTCATACCTGCAAATAGATTCACATTCTTATATGGAAAATAAAACCGCCTTTAGAAAACCTGACAGACAACCTTGAACTTTTTTTCGTATAGTTTTAATAAATCCTTTATTCAACCGGAGAGCTTTGGCAAACATTACTCATTAAATGTTCTTTTAGAAAATTTACACATTTACAGATCTCATACTGAATTATTAATGGCTACAAATAAATGTTTCACTAATAGAACGAAATATATAAACTTTTAAATAAACCAGACATCCTTTTTAATTTTGGAGAATTATTATCATTTATCGCACTCATTTGTTTGTTTTGTTTGTTTTTATTGTTTTTTTTCCTCATCAATTTATATTTTATTTGGTTTTAATCGATATCTAGTTTTTTTTCTAAAGCAATTTGAGGACTTGATTATTATGTATTTAATTATTTATTCACATATTTATTTAATTATTATTCCATCCATCCATTATCTTGACCGCTTTTCCTGTTCGGGGTCGCAGGGGGGCTGGAGCCGATCCCAGCTGTCATTGGGCGAGAGGCGGGGTTACACTCTGGACTGTTTGCCACTCAATCACAGGGCAGACATATAGAGACAGACAACCCACAGCCAGCCACACTTACGGGGAATTTAGATTCACCAATTAACCTAACAAGCATTTCTTTGGACAGTGGGAGGAAGCCGGAGTATCTGAAGAGAACCCACACATGGAGAGAACCCACCCATGCACAGGGAGAACATGCAAACTCCACACAGAGAGGCTCCAGTCCGACGGGAATTTCAAACCAGTAACCTCCTGGTTGTGAGGTGACACTACTAACCACTTCACCTTCATGCAGCCTATTTTATCATTATTAATTATTATAATTATTATGTACTTTTTGAGTTAGAAAACATTATATTCTCTTTTTGACACAACTTTCAGTGATGATTATAATATTACAATATTTAACAGATAACAAACTTCTCCCTAATCTTTCTCTAGTTATCGGGACATTTGTCTAATTAAGGCAGGATTTGGGGTCACATTAGTTCTTTAACATGTTTTAAGCCTTTTTAAATATGCTATATGAATGACCTGTGATAAGATAATATTGATCTGAAAGCCCAAAACACTTGAATAATAATTTGCATAACTCTTCTCCAATGTGTCTCTTCACAAAGACATTTTAAAATCAAGTGGAATTTAAAAAAAAACGTTTTTTTTATGTGCCTTTGAATAAAAATCCTAAAACCTATACATTAGCTTTACTTCACTATAATTTATTTTACTGCACTGAAAGTAACTGTTATGTAGTTTTGAAGAATCATATCCTCATTTAACCACTCTTTAAAATGTATTATTAAATGATTCTCTTTTAGTAGAATTTGACATTCCAAGTATTGTAACTGTATTTCAGTACTTCAATCTTCCCTTTGTTTGAGGACGTCGTGTTAATATGCCCTTGGATGTTTTGTTTATTGGTGTAAAGCACATTGAGTTGCCTCTTTGTATGAAATATAAAACATATAAATATACTTTATATAAATGTTCTTTTGATGCATTGCTGTTCTCAGGTAAAAGCTAAATGAGACTATCCTTCAACTCTCTCCACTAAAGACAGCAGAATGCTTTTTCTCCCTGTGTGTTGCCAATCATCATTAAATCAAAAACAGAGAAGAAAACAGGTTTATCTTCTGCTTGTGTTGATCACAGTTGGCATAAAAATAACAGAACATGAGGTGGAGACAGAACAAACACATTTGGAACAAATCTAAAAAGTAATCACTCACTCCTTGAGTGAAGTCGGAGGCCTCAGTAGAGTTAGACCTCCAATATTAAATGTGACATGTCGTTACTTTTCTACAGTACTAAATTAAGAAGGAGAGGTACTGTCAGTGCCTCCTTCTGATCATGTGAGGGCGCCTCTGAGAACCAAACCGTCTGCTGATTGCTGGATTCAAAGCTTGACTTCTTTAAGAGTGAACTTCTTAATGTGAATAGAAACAGATCAAAGGCGTCTGGTTATTGTGACGGTACACTCATCGGCAGAAGCAGCTTTTCGCAATGAACTTTGTGACATGCCATTAAATTATAATTACAGCTCCTTCCAGCGAGGGCAAGTGTGACACAGACACGGCGAGCATCGGCTGAGATAATTAGAGTTAACAAAGATGACAGGTAGGTCGGTAGGTAACCACAGAGGCAATTACGACGTGTAATTTCAATATGGACAGTTTTTAACATTTGTCACATTTCCTTTAAGTGATTTAATCCTTTAAGGTGTAAAAGCTTCTCTGTCTTGTGATAAACTTGCAGTGTAATACCCCAGAGAGGTTCAAGTCACCTGCCATAGAGACAGAGAGAGGGCTTTTAATGAATAACAATTTCTCAGCAGCTGTTACAGCTTGGTGTTCCATGTTTTTTTTTCCTCTTTAGGACCATATGGGCAAAATGTAAGGCAAGCCAAACCACCTTCAATCCATTAAACCATGGGAAAACACTTTCACAGACTCAGGGCAGCATAATTGATCTCATTTGACGAGAGTAAAGAGGGTAAACGCTCAGATGGTGCATTCTGCTGAAGGGGCAGCATTGGTTATGCCTTTAATTTGAATCTGAACTGCTTTAAAATGCTCTTCTCACCCAGAGGAGTGCAGTGCAGAGAGCTGGAAGGCGAGGCTATGGTTAAAAATAGTCCTAAAGATGCATTTTGTTTTACTTAAAAAGTTCCATGGATTAAAAGTTACACAGATGAGGGATGAAGCATGCTCACCCTTGGTCGTAATTGTAGTAGTCCTGTGTGTAGTAGTCCTGGCCCGGGTCGATACCGGATTCCATGGAGAGCTCCTGCATTTCAGAGAGGCAGAAAGAAAAATTACTCAGCAATCGTCAGAGAACGACAGAAGAAGAAGAAGAGAAGCAGGAAACAGGGCGAGTATATACAGCAGTATGACTACAATCCCTGTGAATTAAGAGAAAAGCAGGAAGGGTTTTTCTACCTCAGGTCTCAGAAGAGAAGGCCTCAGCAGTTGCTGTTGCAGCCGGAGATTAGTACGGAAGAAGGATAAGGTACGGAAGGGGTGGTCAGTAGAGACACAAACACAAGGAGGAGTTTACTCTACACATTTCAGATTGAAAGCCAGAAGAAAAGCCGGCCGCTCTTTAAGTTTAAAGTCTGTTACACTTCAAGGAGGAGCAAGGTTAAAAGGTTGATAACATAGGAATGGAAACGAAACAGGGAATGACATTAAGAAAGCACAACTAAGAGTAAAAATCCTGCATATGTCCGATGCTTATAGAATGCAGATCATTTAAAAGTGATAAAAAAAAAGTTGATGATAACGGAGTCTTTTTTATTTGGTTCCTGATTGTGTCTTTTTCTTTGGCCAACAGAGGAGCCAAATCAAAATGCTTATCTGCCGTTTGACAGGAGCATTGGAGACCTTCGATTCAGACCCGCACTGTAATGTCAGTGTCAGAAGTCTTATCAGCGAGGATCTCATCTTAATCTCATTCACTGGTTTCCCATCAAGTGAGTTGTAGATAAGAATAATAGGACGTAAGCTGCCTCGAGCGGCCTTGAGAGTGACAAAATGTGGCGACACAACAATGAGATAAAAAGCCATCAGGACAGAAATGCTTACCTGTCTGCCGTAGCCTCGCCTCCTGTGGGGAGTAAAAAAAACAAAAAAGAAGACAAATAATGAATATGGATTGACAGCAATATATCAAGAGCTTTCCGATGAATGAAATGTTAAGTCTACAGGACTAGTGTGGCTACATTCTGCTGACCAGCGAGGAAAAAACTGCAGCTTTACTTACTGTGCATTTTTATGTGTTAAATTACAGAGTTGCAGACGTCAGTTCGGTAAAAAAAAAAAAAGGGCGCCTAAGGCCACAATGTTATCATGCTTGTGTGGAAAGCCTTCCAATCCCCTTATCTCATCTAAACAATAAATGCACATACAAGAACTGGGAAGATTGTAATGTTAAAAAAAACGTCTTTATACAGATCTATCGAAAGCATCTCCGGGTAGATATGAAGAGAAACTCGTCTAGAAAATTAATAGAATTGGCTCCGGCTTCCACGTCATAATGTGCCAATGTCTTCTCACTCTGTAAAAGGAAATGTTTTTTCTATTAAAGTTAATAATTCTCTCAATATAAGACATGTATAAAAATAAAAACGACTGCACAGCACCGGAGGACAACAGTGCATCTGCAATGCATTCAGCGCGAGTCAGTGAGAAGCAGCGAGTAATGGAGGAGCCCCGTCTGAAACCTCCAGGTTCACAAGCGTACAACTGTAACCTGTCCGAGGCCCATAAATAACGACAACGTTCCACACTCAGATAGATGGCCAAGCAATGATGTGAGCTTCCTCTGGAGGGCTGTAATCTGTTATTATGGCCAGGGAGCAGGGGACAGAGCACAGCCATATGGCCACACCTCCCAGGCAGAGGCGGATGATGGGAGAGGGATCTGATGGATGACCTGTTGGCATGGCTGCTGGCTACTGCTGCCTCATGCAACATGGAGCCCAGTGGACAGCTGCTGCTGTAGGAAGTTTGCACAAGAGGGAGACTTGGAGGGAACACTGGGGTACCAACATGTCGAGGGGGAGGTCTGTTAAAAAAGCAGATCTTGAATACAAATAACCAGAGGTAGTTTATCTGTAACAGTAAGATGATTTTGAGTTTAGAAAAAAACCCCTGTATACTTTTACATTACGTGATATCTTTAGAGAATTGTAAAATCATTTCTTAGTATTCCACTGAAAGCAAACAAAGTCACCAGACCTACTTCTAGGAGGAACTACTTCAACCTTTTGGGAAATGTACTTTTCCTTGTCGAGAGTTAGATGAGAAAATGTGAGGCTAACGCCAGCAGCCAATTAACTCTGCATTAAGACTGGTGAAGCAGCTTGTCTGGCTCTGTGAAAAAGGAAACAAACTTTGCCCATTAGGACCTCCCAAAGCTCACCAATTAGCATGTTACATGTTGTTTATTTAAATGTACAAAAACAGAGCAAAACATTAAGATCAAGCTGGGGTTTGTGGGGGGGCGGGGGGATATTAGTGCTTGACTATTTCTCAGCCTGGCATAACCCTCTGTAAAAGTATATATTGTAATTTCTTTACTTTGATTTTTGTACAGGTTTAGCAAAGCAGACATATTGGGTTATTCTGTGCACTTATAGATGGGCTGGTAGGCAGAGTCACTTGCCTTGTGCTAAACTAAGCTAACAGGCAGGGATTTAGTCTTCTGACGATATGCCTTTTTTTTTTTGACAAAAAGGAACTGAAGCATTGTTCCCAAAATGTTGAACTATATAACCAAAACAACATTTGGTCAGGATCAGTTTGATTTGTATTTTTTGCAACAAAGGACACTTCTGATCTGGCTTTTCGTGCACACATCGATAATAATCATGAACTCATTTTTTTTTTGTGTGTATCATATAAAGTTTGTTCTTGCTTGAACAAATTATTCTTCAAATGATTGTTCATTTTATTGGCATGTCCTTATTTATAAGGCTGTACTTAATCTCCCCTCATGTGAAAAGTGCTGGAAGCCACTGTCTTCACTCTGCAACCAAGTCACAAAACCTATTTCTCTTATATGTTCCCAAACTGGTCCTGAAACTGGGAAAAGGAGTTTCACTGGCTGCTCCAGTGGCCTGGAATCTCCTGAATGATCTGTGTCTGAGGGAGCTGGTCTCTTTAAATCTTTTTCAAAAGTAGATTTAAGGTGTTGGAGGAACATGCTTCAGGTAGATGCTTTGAATAATGACTTTTCTGCTCTGGGACAGATATACTGTGTGTAATTGCTTTGTGTTTAATGTCTGTAACTTGTTTATTGTGCTGTTGACCCTCTTTGCCAGGACACTCTTGATCACAAGATTCTTCATCTCAATGAGGTTCTCCTGGTTAAAGACATTTTAAGTAAAATACAATAATGCGGATATCCAGTTAGAAGAGTCACCGGCATTTTGCACATTTCCTTAGAAAAGTGATTTCAAGTTTTTAGATCTCTGTCTTCTCTAAAGCTGGGGCAGGTATTTTATTTCAAACGACTTCATGAGATATTTATTGAAATTCTCTTTAAGTCCTGACAGGAGTCAATAAATTAAATGCTTTGCCAAAATAACAAAGTAAGCGTCACTATTTCAATTGCACTGAATTGTTGGTGTGGAGCAGCTTTTTGATTTTTCTCTACGTATACTTTAAATTTAGTTTCCCAATTCAAGTTTCCCACCTTAGCTGTAATTTTTAACAGCAGTTTATAACTTTTATTCCGTCTTCCTGGTGTTCACAAAAAAAGGGAATGCTAAAACCAGCCTGAAAAATAAATTGAATGCAAAGAATACCATCCATTAATGCTTTCTGCTCTTTGGGTAGAAAAAAAAAAACCCAGCATGTGAGCGGCTAGCCTTTTAAAAAAAAAAAAGCGCTGACCCCATGTAGTGAACATAGAATACAGAATTAGCAGGCCTTCGATCTGCCCATCAGGGGTACGTGTGAAGAATCAAACATTACATCGCTGTGGATTGGGAGGTATGCTGCGGGGCCATTTGCCTCAGGACACGGAGGGTGAAACAAACACATGAAGGGTATGTGAGGGAAAGATGGAGAGCAGTGGAAGTGAAAAACCTGAGCATAGAAAAAAGAAAAAAGAAAAAAAATGCAAAGAGAGGGGACAGATGCTGCATTGCAATGAGTGTAAAGAAGGCAAAGGAACCTCCTGAGAACCACAGGGAAAGATTAACAAGAAGACGCCAAGGATAGGAACGTATTGGAGCTAACGACAGGGGGAGAGAGAAAGTGGGAGAGAGGAACGTAGACAAATGGGACAGGCAGAAGGTCAGAAGGATGGAAAAGCAACGGAGAAGCTAACAGCGCTCGACAGTCCCACAGGCAGCGGCCCTGCTTAACGATTGATTGGTTCTCTAATTAGCCTTTTCCAGTGTGCAGCTGAACATCACACTGACTACTTCATCATGCTGGGGGGGATCTGGGCTGACATGTGAATAGACAGGTCCCCCAGAGGTTGGCTCTCTTCATTCAGCATGAGCCTGCTGGGGAGCTCAGTCGATGTTTTTTTTTTGTTTTTTTTAACAGCTGGAGCTTTAACCAGAATAACAAAATGTTTTCTCTTAGAAGTGCCTGACCCTGTCGAATCTGTATTCAACTGCGTCACATTAAAGTAACAGGATTTCCTTTAGCCTGCCTCAGTGTAAAATGCTATATGAAAAAGAACTATGCAATGTTGGTTTCAGTGCATACATTTCCATCTGTTTTGGTTCAAATGTGCATTTCCCACTGTTGCCGTGCTCGGAGGCATTATTATTTTTTCTCCTCATATTTGATCATTTACTTTTTGTTTAATACATCTAAAAAAATGTTTACATAGTACAAGTGACTGGAACAACTCTCTGAATATGATTCACAGACAAATATGTGATTATCTTTCCTCAACACTCCAAAGCTTATTTCAAAGAATCTGCATACCTTTGGGAACATTTTTAACAGCTATGGTAATTTTACCTCATTTGTAAAACATCTAACGTTATCAATTATCCCTTCGCCTAATTTGGATTCCGCAGGAAGCAACAGCAGCCTCAACTGTTATGCTCTGTTTTTTTTGTTTTTTTCTAAAGACATACAAAGTTTTAAAACCAACGATGTGCAGACAAACAAGGCCCCAGGGTGGTGGAATTCATAAATGTAGGTGTTTAGTATAATTTAATTAAAACAGCTTTTGGTTTTAAAATTAAGATCATGAACTCAAATAACATACTTATGACAGCATGAACCTCCTAATCTGGTTACTCTAGGGTATACTTGACACTATCAGAGATCTCAAAGCTGTTCACAGAATGAAAACACAAACTGAGACTGTACATGCAAACCTCATTTATGCTGTAATGCAAGCCTTAAAGCATATTGTGCAGCCGATGTGGCAGAGCTGAGTACATTTCTTGGCAGACGACACTAAGATTTGACTTCCATAAAATGTATCAGGTAAAAAAAAAAGAAGCATTTAGTCTCTTTAGACTGTGCCAAATCTCATATGAAATACTACCAACGGTGCAAAAATCAAATGAAAGCTTTCAGAACAACAGGAACAACAGGTATGGAGAAGTAATGAAAGCATGGAGAAAAGGAGAAGAAGTCAGAACAGTGTGGTTTGAGAGGAAGAGTCTTCACTGAGCTCCGGACTGTCTATACTGTTTGAGTTCAGTTGGTTTGTCTGCTGCAGTTCTGCTTCCTCGTTCTGGTGACTCATTCCATTTTCGGCTAAGTTGTAGTTGATTTTGTCTGCAGAGTCGGAGTCGGTCATGTTTGGCGTGCTCTGCCCGTTGCACGGATCAGAGCCTTGCAGCTTGTTAGCACCCTTTGATTCCTCGGCCATTTGTGGTTTCTTGTTGAATTTGGGCACCTTGCTTTTTTTGTCTACTTGGCTGTACAGGTTGGCAACAGACCTCTCTATGTCGGCGAGATTCTGAATGTTCTTCAGGATCCCTTTGAGTTCCTTTTTCTTCCCCATGTCTGTTTGTGACGGGCTGGAAGGAGGGGGAAGTTTCCGTTCCGACACAGGGCGAAGCGAGGACACGGGCGGCAGTGAGGACGGAATGAACTGGGCGAAAGGACGCGAGTGATCGCTGGCGGGTGAAAGAGGCGGAGGAAGAGGCGGTGGAAGAGGCGGTGGAAGAGGCGGTGGGGGTATAGGGGGTGGAGGAGGAGGTGGGGGAGTAAACAGTTTATGGACAGGCAGGGGAGAAGAAGGGGTTAAATAAGGTTTGGAAGGAGTGGACGGTGGAGGAGGAGGAGGTGGAGGTGGAGTAGGTGGTGGACTTGAGGGAGCAGATGTGGTCGGGGAAGGCGGGCGAGGCCGCTGTGGAGGCGGCGGCGGTGGATTTTCCGGAGGGTCCGGTATGATCTCCACGTGAATCTGACACGGCTGAACTGTCATGTAGCTGGAGATGCTGGAGCTGAACCTCCTGAGGACGGGTGGAGTCGGTCTCTGGCTAGGAAAAGGCCATGACTCATCTCCCTGAGTGATGATAATGCTGGGGGGCACGTCCCTGCCCACAGAGGAGGGACTGTAGTCCATAAGAGAGAGCAGAGATTCTGACGACAGCCCCAGCATGTCATCGCTGTCTCGATCCCTGACAAGAATGGAAGAGAGGGAGCCGAGGGAGTCTCTGTTTTGCTTGAGGGTTTGTTCCTGGAGGGCCTGTTGCTCAAACTGTCTGGCCTGCTCACGGACTGACAGTTTACTCTCTGTGCGTCCACTCAGGTTAAGCATGTTGGAACTCTCTGGCCCTCCCCTGCCTCTCATGGATGCTTGGAGTATCTGCAGCTCCCAGTCGTTCGGAGTCATAAGAGCTTGCCTCCTTGGCATCTCGTAACCCAGCTGCCCTCTGTGAATGCGAGCAGGCATCGTCCAAGCACAGCTCGGCCCTGCTGAGTGGGAAGGGGAAAAGGAGAAGCGCTTCCCAGACAGACTTTTCCCCTGCGAGAAGTCGTCAGGACTGCCGGGGGGACTGTTGTCATCATAGACAGGGTTGTGAGTGATGAGTGGGTTGCGGTCAGAGAGGAAGGTCACGTTGCTCGCTGACTTTGGCATGCTGCGGTGCCATGTCCCGTTGCCGCGAGCTGCAATGGAGCGACAGGCAAAGGCGCTAAGAATCCTCTGGTGTTCGGCGTCCTCCATGGCCGACTTTTTAGCCCTGATCGGGTAAAAAGGTGGAAGTGAAGAAGGAAAAAGAAAGCTTGAAACAGGTAAAAGATTGATGGTATGAGGGGGAGCCAAGCAAAAGAAAGAAGGTGAAGCAAAGAAACAGAGCTACCAACTGATTACGATTTGAAGTATTGTGACTGATACTCAGGAATGTGTGAGTAAATTCAACAATGCGAGCGGTATATTATGATGTCAGATTCATTTTGAAGATCTGCAGAGCCTGCACAGAAATAGGAACTGTTTCTAAACCAATGCTTGAGATTAAATGTGATTAAACACTCATACAGTAAAATAATAATAGTAGAAGTTTTTGTGGGCTTTGTGCCACAGATACAGTACACTATCAATATATTCCCAAAATGAGCCCACAGTGGATGCATTAGTGCAATCAGTCACAACACTTAGAGATGTGAGGGTAGCAGCTAAGGAAACCGTAATGGGAATTGGGAGGTAAAACTGCTGATAGTGTTATCTACTGTCTTGAAGGACCTCTGAACACAGGGAGCTCCACTTTCCCTGACTACAAGCTCTGAACTACAAAACTTTTCTAACAGCCAACACTTTACGACTAACAAAAAACAGGCCTATAAGAAATACATTCACCCATTAAGACCCAAGGCCGCCTGAAAAAACACGCTCCAAAACCCTAAGTAACGTTTGGAATCAACCTGCCAAAACCTGAGGGTTTCAACGCTTACTAAAATCTTCATGCCTCAGCCTCTGTATCAGGTAGAGACATCGAATTCAAAACACTCTGGGATTAAAATCTAAATTGAAATTGCTTGTAAAAGAAAATCATCAATAAACAAAAAAAGAAAAAAAGAAGGAAACGCAGATGCCTCATCAGGTTTTAAAGGTAGAAGCACGCCTGCGTCTCATGAGGCGTTAAAGGCACATACAGGCAAACAGGTCAGCATCAGGTCTAAATGGGTTAATGCACAAGGATATTAATGATACATCACAAATCCTACCCTTTTAACAACCTTTAAGTACACATCAAATTAAAAGCTTTATATAATAATTACATACACTCTGAAAAGCCATGATCAAGGAGAGAAATGAGAGTTCAGCTCCTGGTCATGGATTCTTTTTTTTTTTCTTACAGTGAATCTGATCCTATTTATAGTCTCTATATGTCACATGTTGAGGGATTACTTACTGCAGTCTGAATCCAGAGAGACAGAGGAATAGGAATGGTTGAGAAGACAGAAACACAGAGAGATGGTAAGACGACTGAAGCATAAACGTCAGAGATGTGGATGAAATGAGAGGCTTGAAGTGATTTCTTTTTGCGACTCGTACGGTAAATACTGATTCATCTGCTGCCTGCATCTCGGGACTATGCAGGCAGCACAGAGCATACACACAGACACACACACCTAAACCTTTCATCATAGAAAACTTTGTGTTGAGTTTCAAGGTGTTTTAATGGGGTTGTTTATAAGAGCGGCTCTTCTTGTCTCAAGTGCAGGCTGGAAAAACAACCCACTAATAAATGACACTGAGCTACAATACAATCCCCTCGAGAGCTTTTCTCCCGCTATAGAACCCAGGGCTTCTGGCTTGTTGTTGAGTGTTGGTCAACATCTGTTGTAAACATCGCAAAGCCTCTTTACAGCATGCCGTTAAATTTCCATTTTCTTTTTCTTAATAGCGTTCTTGTCGTAAGGAGCAGTATTTCTTTAACAAGCTGTAAATCTAAATTATTTAACCCAGCGGGGGCAGCAGTTGCAGTTCAACCTCATTTAATCTGCAAGCATTAACTCTTCATTACATGTTCAGAGGGGGGGGGGGGTTATTATACATGAAAGCTGAGACCCGATTGTGCTGATGGCAAAACACTCTGTATGTAAAGGCAGGCTCAGGAAGCAATCGCTGTCGGTACTAATCAAAGGAAGCTTTAAAGAAATGAATGACAAAATCAATTAGAAAGCACAGGGCAGATTCACTTCTTGTTCCTGTTCCCAGTTAACTATATTGTATATTATGGACAAAAGCACGCTTACCTTGAGGGAGGGGCCTTGAAAAAAAATGCATACGCACTCAAATTAGAAACACACACATAAGCTAGAGCTGGATCCCCAGCTGTTCAGCGGCAGACAGTGTGCTATGCTACATCGGAAATAGGTTGTGGTTATGAAGCCTAAGAGCAGGCAGATACGTTGCTTGATTGAATCGACTTTTATATCTAATGAAGCAGGTAAATGTCTGAGCTGCCAGTAGTCGGTTTAAAAAGCGGCTATGGTTTTTAAAAAGCAAAATATCCAGGCAGCAGCACCAACCTGTAAGCACTTCAAAGAAAGGAACCCAAGAAGCCAGATATAGTATAACCTTTGGTTTCATGGGAACATGTGAGGGATGAGGAAGATAATAAAAGGTAAGGTTTGACTCACATGCTGCTGTCACCCAGCTCTTCATAGAGGTTAGCGCTGGGAGCAGCTGCAGGAGCTGCTTTCCCTCCTGGTGGTAAAGCCATCTGAATCCTGGCAGTTTTGGCACACTCTGCCTGGCGCCTGTGCAAAGCGGAGAAAACATTTTACAGTTACAAAAGTATGTGTTTCTATTCTACGTGCACAATGACATTCAAAAAACTCATGCAGAAACATATCAGGAAAATTCAAGCAAAAACAGAGTCTAAGTTCCCTTTTAATGTACGATTGATATTGACTACTCCCTTCCACTTATGCAGTGTCAAAATGATTGCCCATGTGTGTTCTGCATTTCTAAGAGGGCAATGCAAAATATTGGGATGGCCAAACTAAAGCTCGTATTATGTTGAGACATGGCTAAAGACTTATAAGGGTTGGATAGTGAAAAACTGCTCACAATCATTTTAGGTAAAGATATAATATGTTATTTTTATGTTTAAATTATTCTCATTTTTGAAGTTAGAAAAACATTTTGAGCACAAATCTACAGCAAAGGTCTTGACACTATTCTCTTTTCATTGATTTCATTTGTTACAGAATATGCAAGCATTTCATTACAAGCAACAACGTTATTACAAGGGAGTCATCTTAGTCTGTATATGTCTAATGTATGCACATCCAAAATTCACTGCCATTCTGGTCCTGGCTTTTTTTTTTGCTCTATACGTGTCTTTTTATCAGCTTGCTGGAATCAATTCAAGTTATGCTTCAGTGTGAAAGATGTGTGAAGTGTTGATTCTCAGGGGGATAAGCAGTACTAGAAACCCCTTAACCTTTAAGGTTGTTCTTTTCTTTACCATCAAAATGTAAAAAGTGGAGCTTCCCATGAGAATAACAAAAACAAGAGCACAACACTCGACTTTGTAAAATGTCAGCGAGCATTGAGGTTTGGACAACATGGTGCTGTAACTCTGAAGTTTAAAGTCTGTTTGGATGTTACCACCAACTACAGAGTTAGTTTTTAACTACATTCTACACTGAGGACACTTGCGCTTGTCTTTTCTTTTTAATTCACTCGAGTTCACAAGAAGTCATATTGGACATGATGATCCAGAGGACATTATTAATACAATGACTGTTGCTGACTTCTGGTTTGATTTTTGTCATCAGATTTATTCGTTCTGCCAAATGAAGCATTCAGTGTGTAATCTGTAACCTAGGAGATGAATCAGCATTTCTTCATGTCATTATGTCAGAGAGACATTTCTTAACGGTGGCTAGCATGAATTTTGCTCATTATCTTCACATGTTCGACTCATCTTTAAATAATTAATAAATAATGACAACTCAAACAATGAAAGAGCGATCACTTGTAAAACATGAAGAATAATTACTTACTCTTTGAACCTGGTGATGGGTTTTGATTCGGAGGGGACGTGAGGAGAAGAGAAGAGAGAGAGAAGAGGAGACAAAAAAGATTAGTAATTACAGAAAGTATGTAACACGCTAGTATGGGTAGTCTTTCTTAAACAAAGAAAGTTGTTTGATTAAATCAGTAGTATCCAAACTTTGCAACGCCATGACCCCCATATAGCATTAACCTATACTGTTCTACGTTTTTTATTCTTGATCCTTTTAACTCCAAGTTCCTCCAAGTTTTCGCGACCTCCCTGACACTCTCTGGACCCCTCGCTTTGAAGAACACTGGATTAAATAATGAGCACTATTAATGCAATTGTTAGTTAGACAACATATATTTTCACAAGACGCTGTCAATCTGTAAAATGGAGAAAAAACTTTCAGAATGTTTCCTTTAAAGGGGACATATTATGAAAAATCCACTTTGACAGTGTTTTTGAACATATATTTGGGTAACCTGAGTGTCTACCGACCCCAAAAATGTGAAATAAATCCATCCAGTCCTTTGTTTGTGGTCTGCAAAAAATTGCTCTCCTTGCGACACCACAAGTGGGATTCTGGTAAAAAAAAATTCCCACCCCTGGTATCTCCACCCATGGACTCCAACCCCAGCCTAAAGCAAAACTTTTGCGCAGGTCCGCCATTTTTATTTTCGCTACAGAGGAGTGATGTCTACCAGGGACTCGGGGGTGCTCATTGCATTTAAAGAGACACACACACCAAAACAAAGCTTTCTGAGAGTGCCGGTTTATACAGGATCACAAACCTCCTCTGGTGCTTGATTCATGTTATATTTTGAACAGAGGACAGCACAGATGTTTCATTTAGACCACAGGGGACTGTTTGAAAAGCTGGAAAAGGTGGTATAATATGTCCTCTTTAACTACAATGCAAAGCAGGAAGCACTCGTCCTTCCAGCACAAACTGCAGGCCTACATGCAGAAGTTTCTATAGCTTTCATCTTAAGTGAATCTCCTTTTGCGCGATGCCACCATTACTTATTCACAGCAGAATTCAATTATTCCACACGAATAAAAAGATTTCATGTTTTAAATATAATTTTCATCCACAACTGTCCACAACAGCAAATTATGTTGACACACAGAGATGAGGAAATTATTTCCTAAATCATTTAAATTTACCAAAGCAATGTTGCCACCAACAAAGCGCCCATCTGCTCTGACAGTTTGTGCGTTAGGTCTCGTGTCACCATCAGCAGCTTTTCTTGTGTGTGTGTGTGTGTGTGTGTGTGTGTGTGTGTGTGTGTGTGTGTGTGTGTGTGTGTGTGTGTGTGTGTGTGTGTGTGTGTGTGTGTGTGTTCGGTCTGTGCGTTTGTGTAAGGGAAACCACCCCGTCCCTGATGCTGTGAATAAACATTTCCCTAACATTGCTGTTCATGGCAGCCTGGCGGGATACCAACTATTAGAGGAGATAAGAATCTGACTTCTGTCAAACACAGGTTCAATTATCTCAAAGATCTGAGTAATGCTATAAACAAAAACATCTTGTTTTTGTACACTATGTGTGTGTGTGTGTGGGTGAGTGAGAGAGAACAGAGAGAGAAATGTTTACTGTGTGTGTGTGTGTGTGTGTGTGTGTGTGTGTGTGTGTGTGTGTGTGTGTGTGTGTGTGCGTGTCAGGCAGTGATGATTAAGTAGTGTGAAGACACACTGTGACGGTCACAATTGGCTGTAGATATTTGTCACAAATGAGTGTTAATTAATCTGCTTTCACAGAGCATGAGCAGGGAGATTAGCCCAGCAGAGTGCGCAGTCAGCATGTCTGATGAGCGGTGAGAGAGAGAGAGCCATGAAGACACACAAAGAAACAAAGCAAGAAGCGCCTTATCTTTATCTTAAATACTTGACAAATACTTCACAACAATGCCGTACATGTTGTTGTTGGCTCTATCCTAATAGGCCGGAGGGTACAGGACGCAAACAATGTCTTACACTCCAAGTATAAATATCGGATCTGTGTGAAACTAATTATTCCTCTAAAAATGTGGGTAACACAATAGCTGCCGAGACAAAGCTCCCCTTAATTAAAATACATTTCCCTCTTTTATTCCCTGACACCCAGTTAAAGATGATTAACGATCGCAGAGGCCAGAGATTATTCCTGAGGGGAGGCTACTCACTGTTTGTAGGTGACCATGACAATGAGGATGGCGGGGATGCAGCAGAGGATGATGATGATGGCGAGCGCCAGGAGTGCTCCCTCCGTGTAGCCCACGGCCTGGGCCGCTTTCTTTACACTCGCAACGATATCCGGAGAACGGATCTCGAGGATGCGGCCGCCCTCACCCAGGTACGGCTGGAACTCCTTGTTGATTTCCAGAACATTCCCGTCGAGAAATCTGTAATTTCATGACAGGATGAAAACAGATATTAAATAGTTTTTTTCTAGCTGAGAAGTGGCTGAGTAAGTTATGTGTCTTGACTATCATCTGTCTTACAGCCGCCATAATCAATATTTTTATAGAACTATATATTTGAGTGTACATTATTGTAAAACAAAATATGTGAACAAAGTGAAAGGGGTCAAAATTTCACATTAATGAAAACTGAGACAGAGATATAGAGATATAGATATATATATATAGAGAGAGACAGATAGTGAGAGAGAGAGAGAGAGAGTGAGAGAGAGAGAGTGAGAGAGAGAGTGAGAGAGAGAGAGACGGGTTGTTTATAAGTGGTATGAACTTCCATCTTCGTTGTGAGTAATATTGTTATGTTGTTTTCTTTAATTACACTGTCCTCGGTTTAGAAGCCATTTTTCATCATGGTCCATCTAATTTAGGAATTCTGATTTTGTATAGTACATTCTATAATTTTTAGCATTATAAATGAGAATACAATTAATGTGAAGTATTTAATTTAAAATAAAATAAAAACTTGTAGTGACTATTAAGTTGAATAATTGATTTATTTTGGCAAATATTTGTATAGATTATAGAATATGTGTAGAGTTTAGTATTAAGAAAGCGCGCTATGAATAGGTGGTTTGAGAAGTGAGAATATGTTTGTCTGTGGCCGAGCGGTTAGGAGCATCAAGCTTAATGATTTTTGATCATGTTTTAAGCTAAGATTTGTGGACATTAAGTTTGGATGTTGTCACGAAAATAATGGAAAGTCGAGTGCAAAAACAAAGAATGAGGTAAACGGATCTGTGAGTATTTAATTATTTATGGACACATACTGTATCAGAATCAAGCAACAGACTGGCTACTACTATCTGAGTGACGAAAATTGCCACAACACTCGGGTTCAAATAAAAAGAAAAGGCTCATTGGACGCCAAGTATCTCAAAAGATGGTTTCTAAAAACAAGCAACCATTTGACGTTACTACCAAGACTGCATTGCAATGTAAGCAACAAATGCAGCCAACAAGTTCATTTATTTTTTACACTTTCGCAAAAGGTAGACCTCTCGACATTTAAGGTATGCGCCACAGAAAAAAGATACCAATTACAAATGAAACACGTCTTCTTGGGTTTGTTTACAACAGGTTGTCACATGAACAGAATGATATATCACACATTTGTTTGAGCTTAAAAAACATTTAAAAAAAACCATTTCATTTGCTGAGAGACAATTATTTCATGTTCTTGTATCTACGATACAAACTGCAATTGTAATAAATAAGGCAACATACATTCAAGAAATCCACCCACTGTTGTGTCATTGTTGTTTTGTTACAATAACCAGAGTGCCTTCCAAATATTCTGCATCACCGGAGTGAGCACACTGCCACATCCAATTACTGTCAGATTTGTTTATTTCTATAGGTGGACAAATGAGCGGAGATGAAGGTCATCAACCGGTCTCCCTGGCAATCCGTCCTCCAGAGGGCTCAAATGGTAGAGATCACTGGATTCAAGGTGGCAGGAGTGCAGTGGGATGTAAGAATCCACTTACTATGTCATCTCTCTCCCTCTGGCAGCAAAGTCACAGACATATTACATGTAATTACCTCACAATATTGTGAGACATGCGCTGAATGCATAAACAGCTCCTCTATTCAAAATGATTTTCCTGACAGTATCTATATCCAAGGAAGCAGATTCGTATTAAAGCAGGGATGTAAGAAGCCTCGTTCAACTTAAGCTCAGATCTCTTTAAGGCTGCCGATTGAGATAACAGCCTTAGTCATTGGCTTTTGTAAAAAAAAAAAAAAAAAAAAAAAAAAGAAGAAGCTGTTTTTTATGATTTCAGTGCCACCCATCCCATGGCTTTAGCCTCAATCCAAAATTTAAGAATCAGTCGGGAACCCTCATCTGATGGTCAAGGACACTGAGATAATGTCAATAGATTAATTCACTTCATACACAAAGCACCTCTAAATGTCATTTCAGTGGAGCTTCTCCAAATGAACTGAAACTGTCTCAAAATTCTGTCCCAATAGAAAAGGGAGGAGGACGTTTCTGAATTGTTCTGACAAGGAGAAATAAAGACAGAGGATGGTGTCAACCTGCTTAATGTAAAGAAAGAAAGAAAGAAAGAGTGTGTAAGGGACAGTTCAGATGGTGATGCCTATTGATTGTGCAAGTCACATGCCCTGATGGAGATGCCTTTCGAAGACTGGTGTCGGATCGCTTTGACAGAAAAGCTGAGAAACACTTCAGAGGTGAGAACGAGCTAAGGCCAAGACTTTTTTTTTTCTCCAGATGGGATGTTAAAGTGTCTAATAAGCACTTTTTCAATGTCCCCATAAAAGCCTGCAAAACATGGCCTCTCACCGGTCCAACAGCGTTTTAGCACACAGAAATCCCTTGATCTCATTGTACAAAGACAAAAAGAACCATAGTTGGCATTTCTCCAGGCTTTTGGAACAACCTTTGAGGCACAGGCATGACGGGTTGATGGACTGACTGAAATACTGCCTGCCTCACTCTCACTTTGTTTCTCTCTTTAACTCCTGCCCTCCTTTCTCTTCTGATTTCTTGCCCTCTCTAAGACAAACGACAGATTTGGTGCTCCTGCAGGGTAATCAAATCTTAAAAGTGAAGGCAGTGGAAAAAATGGACACACATTAGAGGTGGAAGCCGGGGGGGGGGTAATACAGATACATTTGCTGACTCACTGTATGGACAAAGGGTAAAGAGAGACTGTATGGAAAACTTGAAGCAGAGCAGGGACATTAGGACTTAATTTATCCCAAATGGTTGACTGTACTTTTTTTTCAATAAAATCGCCTGACTCACTTGAAGAGCTCCTTAGGGGAAATGGCTCTGTTTGTGAGCGGGTCAATGGCGTACACCATCAGGTCGGACTTGCTGTAGTCCTCCAGTTCAAAGCCGTCACCATGACGACGTGGCCCGATGGATTCTACAATCACCTTAGCGCCTGGTATCTGGTCCTGGACGTGACGCTCCAGAACTCTGAAATGAACGGGAAAACAAAAACAATCAGAAGTCAGTTCAACATATTCACATGGTGCTCATTTTCTTTTGACATCATGCTCAAGGCGGGAGGCCCTGAAAAAGGCCAACATTAGCTGTTGTTTGATGCTAGCTTATAGGTAAGTAAATATACTTACTCCTGGTTTTCACTGTCCGTTGTCTTTTTTCATTAAATCATTGAAATAATGATAATCAGCCAGATTTTGTAACCCTAAAGTATGTGATGTCATAACAGCATTTGAGCTTCCCTCTCTGAGCTGGGTGTCAGAGTGAGATGAATGTGAGTGTGAAAACGGTCCTTTAAGGTGTAAATTCAAGGAAGCAGTTCATTTATGGACCAATACACTTCAGATTTATAATTCCAAGAGCACGGCTCAAGCTATTTCCGGCACCTCTTTGCCTAAAGTAATATAAGAGCCACCAATCTTAAGTACCCCACTCTGGCAATGATTGCCCCATTGGGCAGCAGTTTTCCTCTCCACGTCGGACTCTTGGCAAAGCAAGGCTCTGATAATCCCATTCAGGCAAGGAGAAATCCACACCTCAAGTTACAGCCAATAAAAGGAAAGCCGTGCTGTCTGCCTTTGCCAAGGTGGATAAACAGTCTGAACACTCAGGTAAAATGACCCTGGATCATCACCAGCACTATGCAAAATCTCAGACCCCTCAAATGTCATTATACTCCAAAGAGCTTAACATGACTAATGTGTGTGTTTTTCAGCCTAAAGAGTGGTGTCACTTGTGGGGAGAATCACGGCGAGCTCTTGACAACAACTATTAACGCGTTGCAGATTGACTAATTAGACTGAACAGTGTGCCCCAAGAGCTGCAAAAAGATGTTCCATGAATCCCGATCATTAATTAATTTGGACCAGGAAAAAAGAGCTCTGGAGGATAGACTTAACTGTCTCATTGGCTGATCAGGGGTCTTAATTCATGTGTCTTTGGTTATTGAACAACCGAAGACAAGTGTTCTGTCACTTAATTTTTAAGTCTTTGATTATTTTCCACGACCAAAATATACACTTTGTGCTGTTCCTTCGAAACCTCATTGTTATGCAAATTAGAGTGTCATCACCAATATTAGTAAGGCTTGGAACACAGAGATGTAACTAATTTTGCCGTTCCAACTCTTCTTGAAATCAATCAACAAAAGGAACATTTGGGCGAGAAATTGTCCTCTGAAATGCAGCGACATGGCAAGCTTCATGGAAGAGAAACACAAAACAATACAGTCGCTCAATCATCCAGTGATTCCCTCTTATTTAACAGGCTAACATAATACACCGTGTTCTAATTCAATATTTCTATTCAGTAAAAAAAAAATCGTCATACCTGATGAGCTCCTCCCTATGCTCTTCCACTAAATGTGGAGGGACAGTGGACACGACAACCTGCATGTCCAATGCGTTGACAACAGAAACCTGGAAAAGAGAGACATATGAGGACAGAGTAGAATAAAGTACCAAGAGGAAAACCAGGCAGCAGAAAATACAGATGAACAGTGATTACATCTGTAATTCTACTGAGAATGTGTTCTACTGAGAGTTGGCTGGTTCATGGAAATGCTTCTTTCAATGGACCAGTGAGACGCCCTAATTGCCTGACTGTATTTGTGCCATGCGGTAAACTTAACAGGACCTAATTCTGACGCTGCAGTTAAGTGCATAGGCAAAGGCCTCTGTGCTCTGAAGCCAAATCTCCCAAGCAGCTCCTGTGAAATTAGCTTTCCCCTTAAAAAATGAACAAGCACTATGGTTAAGCACTCGCTGACTCTCTCATAGCCAGGCAATGTCCCAGACCCTTCTCCTGACCCGTTAGAGGCTTGTTAGTCGGACATATTTCACTGAAAGGGAAAAAAAAAAATAAGCCTGACCACAGTCGGGAAAGATGAGCAGTGAATTGGGGGCAAAGCTGAACCCAGTCACAGTGGCAGAAACTATGGGGACAAAGAAATATACACACAGAGACACACAGACACTTGTATAGATAAACCTGCGGGAACACATACTATATGTAAACAAAAAGATGTGCAGGAAATTTGAGCAGTAATATAACAAGGCAGAAAGAAGGAGTTCAATTCGACCATCAGCCGGTTACAGAGCTCACATCTTGATTATCGTTTGGCTTTTGGAAAACACTCAATAGACCTGAACCTTTTTGCTGAGCAAAAAAAAAGGAAACAAATCATCATCTAGTCTCATAATAAACAAACCATTGTGCAGGACAAATAGAGCTTCCCTCACATGTATACATTTGTGGTTAGGGCTGTTCTTCCTCGACAGGCAAACTTTTTTTTTATCCTTTAGCGAGAGCCAGGCGGATTGCTTCCTGTACTTTCCAGTCTTTGTTCAGAGCTACGCTAATTGGCTGCCTGTTGTAGCCTTTTTATGTATTTGACAAACATGAGCTTAATAATGTAGATAGATAATATGATGTTTTTTTTTTTAAAATAAATAACAAATAGAGCCACATAAGATATGGTTTTTGAAAGCTTTACAGCACAACCTACCTAGTAAATTGAATTCAATGTGCAAAATTGGTGGAGTACCCCCTTAAGGATTTGCTCCTGTATACACGAATTGTGTTCCGGTGACATTGCAAACCAATTTCACACTTCAAAGACATGTTCAATGCAGAGAAAGCATGCTGTGAAAGCTGAATGCAACATACAATCAATATGCCACTGAATTGCAGGGAACATGACGGTCAAGGACTCACCCATGTGTGCAGAAACACAACACAACTACTAGAAATACATTCACTGTATGCAGCACATTTGTCAACACAAACCTACATTTACACTATAAAGGCGTCATACTCACCACCACGTCAGCACGGTTGCTGAGGCCTTTTCCATAATCATCCGTGGCAATAACCCTAAAGGTGAAGTAGGACCTGCGCATGTTTCGAAACATGATGGCTGACTTGATGATTCCCGTGTAAGTCTCTATGACGAAGCTGTCTTGGCCCTCTGGTGTGGGTGGGATAATCAGCCGGTAAGCCATCTTACTGTAATTCCCCGTGTCTTTATCAGTGGCCTATAACACACAAGACAGCATGCACACACCAGAGAGAAAAAAATATCAATGTTTTATACTTAAAAAAATCATCTTATATTTTCACATTTGAGATTTCGATACAGTCTGCCCCAGCATCAACCAACCATTGTCAGAGCTACCTGACCATGTCGGAGGCTGTATGGTTTTACACTTCTGACCATTTCCCAATCAATGATGTCACAGGAGATGTTTTAGTCCTGAGCAGTTAATGGGAAATACCTGCTGTGACATCAGTGAATTGGGCCAGAAAAGCAAAATAATAATAAAAAAAAAAAAACACTACCTTCCTTCCTTCTTTTATTCAGTGTTGTTTAACCCCTATAAAAACATCCATGATTGATGCCTCAATCATGCTGTTATTTATCACACAAATACTCTGCAGTCATGAGAAAAAATCAAAACAAATCAAGTTTTCTTCTAACAACATACCATAACTGTCAGGTTAGCGGCTGGAACTGGACGTTAGCAATGTTTATGCTAACAGATGTGGGGGGTGGGGGGGGTGACATTTCCTTTAGCATATTCATGATTTGTTTCAACAGTGTCAAGTTATTCTGTCTTAGGATGTCAAAACACCATAGATGGATAGCTATTATAATATTATTTTAAATTACAACTGCAGGCGGGTGTGGACCCACTGACAGCTTGGCACATTTTATTTAAAGCTCACAGCAAACCTAGACAAGATGTGAAAGAGTGGAGTCTTTGAAGGATGTCCTACTGATGGAGATATTTGCTCATAATTCTTTTCCAAGCAGGTGTTCTGTAAAGTAGCAGACAAGTAAAAAAATAGCGCTACAACCAGAGGCTAACAAGGGCCTTCTTGAACTGTTGTTTGAGCAGTTGCTTTACCAACATTAAGATTGTCAATTCCTGAAGCTAATAAATCACAGGATTGTCATGGTAACCTCTTGGTAACATGTTCAGTCCGTATGCCAGCTTCGCTGAAGTGAGGTCTCTCTAAATGTGACATTTGATTTGCCACATTCATTTAAAAATTCCATTGAATAAAGATTATTTGAATAATGATAAAATACTTGAGAGTTTGATTAATTTTGGACAAGTGTCAAAACAGTTTATTCAATTAATCGAAAAATAATTACAATGTAATAAATCATTTAAACCAATAAGAAAAAAAACAACCTTTTAGTTGGAAAAACCACAGAACATTGACCTCTAAGAACAAGTTGTGACTGGCCACAAAGACCCAACACAGGCATCAATTTTCCGCCTGCTTGTCTGTAGAAAGTGACACTGATAAATAGGTACAATCTCTTTTTTTCTCCTCCAGCTATTGGCAGGGAGCGGGGAGGAGGGGGGAGTGGGGGGCAAGGTTCCACCGAGAGGCCTGCATAAATCAACAAAGTGAGATATCCTGGTTGGCTAAAGAGACATTCACCAAATACATGCACACTCATTATTTATGTGGCGCAAACCTTTTAAACTGTCACTGAGTGAGGGTTGTTTGCTGCAAGCTGCAAGAACACTGTGAGGGGAGAAATATATATCCAGAGTGTTGACATTCAAAAAAATCCACATATTATTAGACTTCAGGCATCTCAACGTTGTTCAAAAGGTTTGTATTGTGTTTCAAGCTAGGCAAACTCATGAAACTAATTACTCACTGATTAAAAAACAGGGTCAGGTAAGAGCCACATGGAGCATAATGTAAAGATTGAATCAGTCTTTCCTTCTACACAGCACAGTTTTTGCTTATATTGAAATATTTTTAATTTAACTTTTCCACTCCGATGAGATTTTACATCAGTAGTAAATTAGCCCAAGATAATTTGCTAATGCTGAAATGTGATACCTACTGCTTGAGGCTACTGAGACCATTTTAAGTGACAATGCCATTTGTGATTGAAGGTGGACTATAGCAAGACATCTCAAGTGTCAGAATATGCCAAGTGTTCACTAAACTTCACAAGATAATCTCCAAAGAAAGGGATGCGCAGCTTTGTTCTAAATTCAGTCGAGCACAAACACGGCACACTAGACATGCTTCCCACTAGGCTTCCCCTTGCAGAAATTACAGGATGATACTTCACTTTGTGAAATCTACACTTTGTTTTTATTTCTTCCTGAGAACGTCAGAAGATTATTCCAGAATTGGTCACGTGATTGAATCAATGATTCACTATTCAGTGCCATTAGTTTTTACATATTTAGTCTTTTACGTATACTAATATGAATAAATGTAAAATTATTATAAGTATTAATCTTGGTTCATTTTAAATGAGTGCTGTGAACATTGAAATAAATAAATAGCATCTGTTTATTTGTTATCTGATGTTAGTCTCTGTGTAAAAAAAAAAGACCTGCAAATCACTTTCCAACCATCTACATGACAAATGTTTGTTCCAACTAAAAAAAAAATATATATATATATATATATACGAAAATACATAGGATATATGTTGGTTCAAATTAAGATGAGATTGTAGTGTTGTAGTCAAGACAGCACTAGCCGAGACCAAGACATACCCGAGACCAGAGTGCTCAGAGACCGAGACAAAACCAAGACTTTTATGGACCGAGACCGAGTCACTTAGACGTAACACTGGGAAGGTTGCGGACGTAACCGGGGGATAAAAATCAAATTATGAATGAATTGAAGAATTATTTGTTCTTTTAGAAAAGGGAGTTTTCCTTCTAATCACAGTATTGACGTGGAAAAATTGCCGATCAGCTGTGGTCTTGACTGGTTCTTAAAATCTGGAGTCGGCCCAGTCTGGTCTCTTGAGACCAAGACTGATTTTGAGTACTACAACACTAGGATCTGAGCTTACCTTAATGAACTGAAGACAATCAGTTCATATTAGGGCTGTCAGCATTATCTAGCCAATCATGATTGATTAAAGAAATTAAAGCATTCATTTATTTATGGCGATTAATCACATGCGTTTTTGTCCCTGTAGGTGCACTGTGGATAAGCCTCCACAGTGTCTCCCTGTAGTCACAGTGATAGAAAAGAACAACACTGCTGCATCTTTGAACATCTCATTTCACTTTAAAGAACTCTGAGACAGGTCAGCTGGCAAGTCCAAAGTAATAACCACCTCGTGAAACATTTCTCATTTTACCGTTCCTTTTTCTGTGGTTGAGTTAGTGATATAACCTTCACTCTAATGAAAAGGACCTTGCTTTACCTTATTTCAAAACCAAAGCAGGGTTGAAAATCAAAATCAGCATGTAAAGTGCTTAAGATGTTACACAAAGCCCAACAGTTTGCCAAACAATGAGCAAACCTGGAGTTTTATTTGAGAACACCAATAAATTGAATATACTCCCTGCCTGCTTCTAACACTCTTGTCTTTTTACTTCTACACATCAACAAAGTCTGTTTTTTTTTAATAAGGACAGGGTTACGCGTTGAGTGTTAGCTCCCCCCTCTGTATCATTTGACACATCTGCTGCGAGGTTTGAAATATCTTTTTATGAATCTTCTTTAATGGCCTTTGCTCTCCTCATCTTGCCTGCTGGATATTAACCCCACTTCTTTTTCTTCAAAAGCCTCTAGACTCCATTAGCCTGGGTCCAGTGTCCATTATACTATAAAAAGCTCCCACGTTTCCGGGCCAAGTCCCAGTTTAATTTAATCTAGCTGGAGTTCCTTTTGCTTATGTTCCCTTTCACCTTCAAAGTATTTTAAAAAGTAAAACACCATGTGATGTTCTGTGTCGGTTTTGATTACAAAAAAATTTATATACAAAGTTTAAATGTAACCATTCTTATAAAGTATCAAGGTGTTGAACCAGACAGGAATACGTGTAAAAAAAAATAATTAATCAATAAGAAAGGGTGAGAAATAAATACAGCCTTATAACAAGACATAACAAGAAAATATGCTTTTTTCCCTCCCCACAGAACATAAAGCAGCCCTGACACAAGTTCTACTCTCAAGCCAAACGCTGCTTGGTACTCGCTCTAGTGCTTTATAAATAAACTTCTATTCTTCTATTCTATTCTACTCGCTCTAGTATTCTGTTTATCACATGTAAGACTCTCAGCTGACAACATACTACACAAACAGAATCTGAAGGCCGACTGTATATGCTTGTCCCTTTGTCGTTCTCCAGGCCAGTTGTTACTGAAAGTGCTGTTGGGACCAAAGGCTCTGAAACAGCCTTCTAAGTGACAGAATAATCTGTTTCACATGTGAACACTGCAAATTCACGACATTGTCTGGGAGGGATGCATGTGTGAACGCAAACATGCACTTTTGTTCACCTGGCTTTATGCAGACTTTTCCTGCTAGCCTCCTGGTAGCGTTTTACAACAAAGCGGTGTAAGGATGCGTACCTGAGCTTTATGCGGTGTGGGGGGAGACAATGGAGGGGTTAAGAATGGAGGGAATATACCATTTGATGATTTACTGTGATGTGTAATTTTACTTCCATTGATGAAAATTAAAACATTTGATCACAAAAAAAACCAAAGCGGAGTAAGTGGACAGACTGCTGATGCAGTAGCTTCAATGCTTAATACAACTGCTGACCTTGGTTGTTTACTTTTTTATAAAACTTTTTTTTACTGTTGTGTTGGTATTGTGTCTAAGTCCTTGCACATATACAGAGGTATCAGTACACTAACAGGTGACATTACTGACTCCTCCTGCGCACTCTGCCCAACTGATTTGAACCTCCTCGCTGTGAGGCAACAGCGCTTACCACTACAGCACTGTGCAGCCTAATACAAACCCTAATACATATATTCCAATTTTAATGTTTTTTGGAAGATATACTTTACCCACAACAAATGCAGATAAACAAGTTTGTGGGCAGTGAAATATTTGTGGATCATGATATATACTCATTTCACCACATCATCGTCTTGGTGACTATGATGAAGTTCAATTTGATACCTTTTGACCCTAAAAAATAAGGTTTAGTCTGTACAGTATGTAGCCTCATTAGTGAACCAGGAAAAACATTTTTTAATACGAAATCACCTGCCGCTGCACGTGAAGCTCAGTGTTTTAAACGCACAGTAATAAACGAAATGTGACTCGGATAGATGTGACAACATTTCCTCCAGCCTCGGATCGTCTTTTATCTCCACCACGGTGGGTGGCGAACAGGAAATAGAGAGACTACAGTAATACACCCGATGAAGAAACAACTAGACAGACAAACCCAGTACAACACAATAATCCTGACACCTTGACAAATGAACAAATGGCTTTTCATGAGATACTCTGCATTCGCATATAAATGCATGACTGCGAGCTGCGGTGTTGACAGTCAGGGTGGGTTCTCGAGGATTTTGTACACACAAATAACAAAAAAAAAAAAGTACACACTAACTCACAACTCACAACAGCCCACGCGTGCAGAGAATAGACATGGAGTTTACACAGAGTGACAGCGTGAAACCTTGTCAATGCGGGCTGATAGTCGGGCTGGATGTCCAGCTATGCTGCTGTGAACACGAGAGGATTACAGCACACAGCTGATCACACCTGTCTGTGGACCGGGCTGACGGCTGGGAGAGCGAAATTGAGGAGGAGATGAAGGGAGTGATAGCCGAAGGAGATAAAAGTGTGCCACAGCGAGCAGATCAGATGGCTTCTCCCGTCGTGGCTGCAGGGTAAGTGTTAACGAAGCAGGAGCAGACTCTGGCACTTTGGTTTCCAACCTGTTTTCATGTATGCTGATAACAAAAAAGACAAAGACAAAAGTAGGTGTTTTTCTTACCACTATCTTTAGCACCGAGCTGAAGATCTTTGTGTCCTCCGTCACGCCGCCTATGTAGAGCTTCCTGGAGAAGACGGGCGGGTGGTCGTTCTCATCCTCCACCTCGATGTAAACCTTCGCTGTGTTAGCTGCAAAAAAACAAAATAAATAAATGTGACCTACTTTAACATCTTGCACAACTTTTTCAGTTCATGAGATACAAAACAACCCACCAAACACATCTTACTGTTTAACTCCAATTTCTGTACAATGATGTACCTTCCGTTGAGTACCAATCGTTTAATAACCCAGGTCTGCTTGACCCTCTCACTCTAAGAATTGGGACATACAAGTACAGAAATGTTCACCCATCGAGGTCACCGGCTGTTGAATGAAGAGATCCAAACAGCCATCAGAACTGTGGTGGGTCAAATGTTGCAAAATTGAAACGTCAATATAATTGGTCAGGGTCTTTAAACAGTGTGCAACTTCAAAAGAGAGCTTGAAGTAAATTGAACAGAATATTTTTTGTAAATGATCAGTGAAAGTTTCACGGAATGTTTTTTAAATGAGAACCCGTCGACTAACCATCACTTCTTTCACATCAAGTCGTTCTTCTTTAATTATCCGTGGAGGGATGTTTTGACAAGCTTGGAAATTTACTCAATTTGGAAATTGAGACATCACATTCACCTCTCTGAAAAAAAGTCAATGTGAGAATATAAATGGGGAAAGAAACTTTTTAACTTTATTTTGAACAAAAGTAGACCGAGTGAGGTCGGCAAAACTCAACCACCTTCTAATGACTATAATGAGAAAGAATGTTTACTTGTTTTTTATTATAGAGAAACCTGTTTTCTTGCACCTAACTCCACCCTCTCTCAATGAAAAGGCACAAGAAGATATTTATAGTCACGCTGGAAACTTGGAGTAAATAATTATTTGGCTTAATTTTGTTTTGATTACAACAAATATTTTGACAAGAGGGAAAAATGAATCTGGATTATGATGATGAATTTCCTCTCTCTGCCGCTAAGAAGTAGTTCAGGAAAACAACTGAGCTGTTTGCATTCTGTTTAGCGGCCATTAGCGATAACTCTCGGGCTCTGAGTGAAATATGACTCTGTAAAACTATAAAAATGATGATGAAGGTTTACATTCCGAGCCATTACTTTTTAGAGGGGGGTCTACTTTGCAGCGTTTATTGTTGAGAAGTTTGGTTTTCACACAACTTGGGAGAAAACAACACCATCAATAAAAGGCTGTGAAAGTTTAACAAGCAAACCATTTGCACATTATTGGGAATAATAATTTGAAGGGCAAGCAATCACAAGGCAGCAAGACTCTCAGCGGAGTTTGAGGAAACACTGTAAGAAAAAAAAAGGCAAAAAAAAGGGTCTTTTAATACTTCATTTGATGGCTAATTGGCTATTTTGTGAGGCTTTTTCAAATATCCATCCTGTTCCTTTAAACGGAAAAACACATATAGCGAGCAAAACCCTTTTTTCACCTAATGTGTGCATGGCATAGTATTACTATATACAACTCAAAAATACTTCCAACAGTGTAGTTTGGAGAAAAATATGCAGTGTCAAGGACCTTTTTTCTTCTGGCAGCGTATAAAAATGTAAAGTCATGTGGCACCGGAGCTACGGATGCACCAGGGGAATGGAACAAACAAAAAACACAGCACATCAAATTGCAGGCACAAAAAAAAAAAGTGTGAGAGCACTGCAGAGGGAGGAGGACTCCAAGGGCCTGAGGAAGAGGTCTGTCTCTTCTCTCTGTTCACACAAAGTGGCCGTATTCCATCCTCAGAGCATCAGGACACAGAACACAGAATATAAATAAAAGCTCCCACCCCTGCTATCCTATTCTCTCGCCCCTAACTCTCGGGCTTAATCATGAAGACACATGAAAGAAATGTGTTAAGGATGGAGATGATGTAGACTCGAGTATATGAGAAGAGTGCATAATCATCTAGAGCAGGGGTGGGCAACTGGTGGCCCCCGTTAACCCTCAACATGGCCCTCAGATACATTTTTAGATATAAATGAATTGGAAATTTGAAGAAAACATGACAAGATCTGCCATGAGATCATGAAAACCAGAAATATGTCCATAATAATATTTGATCACTGGTATATGTTGAGTTAAATTTGAGACATAATTGACTGTAATCGTTTTTGTATCCTACAATTTGGCCCCCTGGCAGTGAGAATTAGATGATTGTGGCCCTTTCCCTGATCTAGAGAATATGGCTATGCCTGCAGGGGCGTTAGTTCCTCTAGGGTTCAGCGTCTTGACTAAGGAGTCTTTACAACATGTTGACTGAAGGGGCTGGGGAGCAAGCCATAGACATTCTTATCAGGGGATCACCCTCTCTACCTTTGAACCAAAGAGAGAACAATGTGTGCTTTCCCACCGTGTAGTAAAAACACACTGGTCCTAACAGAACTGAGGATAATTATATAAATATATATATATATAAATACTCTTATTAACTAAAGTCTCCTTATAGGGTAACTAAACTTTAAGTAGTGTTGTTGATCAATTCTGATGTTAATCTTGACATTTGAATTTGAAGTATTTTAATTCTACTCTATTCTATTGTGTTAGAAACATACACAGCGACTGCCCTCTACAGGTTAAAACCTGGTTATGACCTATGTGGTGCCAGCTTCCCTCACCAAAAGCTAAAAAACTACAGGTATGTAAGCTGACTCAGCAAATTGTGAGGCGTCAAGTGGATTAAGAGAATTGCGCTGATTGATGATGACTGAATCTTAAGTAGCTTGCAGTGGAATATGGCGATTGTAAAGTAATAAAACAGGGCTATCTGTTTAAAAATGTTAAAGCCATAATATCCAAATCCTCTGGGGGGGGCATCATCTACCATTCAGAGACGTCCCCTATCCTCTCTTGCACTGACCTCGTCATCGGCTGTCTCAACACTTGCTGCCGTTGCAAAAGGTTTGTGGAGAGAAGTCCTCTACTTCAAAGTATTTTTCTATCGCAGAAGTTCCATTGCTTCTTCTCGAGTTGCGCCTCATTTCTTAATAACCTAGCAAAACTTGCTAATCAGTTAATGTGTGTGTGTGTGTGTGTGTGTGTGTGTGTGTGTGTGCGTGTCATAAACTGTAAGATGTTGCAGCTGATCGTGACAGGATGAAGAAGTGAGCGGACCTGCCTTATTATATCCCACCTTGCCCTGTCCATCTGCGTTTTCAATAGTTCTAGGAACTGTTGGAACCATATCTTATTTTTTTTTTAGTCATTCAGTACTGCAGGAACTCTGAACTATTTTAGTTCCTAGAACCCCGTTTAGAGGAACATTTTTAGCTCCTGCTTCAGAGTAGGAACTCTTCTAGCACCATGGCGAGGCAAATGCAGACAGAAAAAAAAAAGTCCCTATGCTGAAGAGTAAGAGTAAGAGGAAAGGTACTCCCTTGATCTACATTATAATTATACATGTACAAAAAAATCTTAGTTCCTCTGCACTCAGCTCATTGACAACAGGGAAACTCTCCATCATATGTGTTAGAGTGTCCTCTGCTTTACATCCATCTGATAGGTGACGTGCTCAGTGTGTGTTAGTATGTGTGTGTAATTGCTGTCATCGATATGTGAGAGACAGATGCTGTGAGAAGAAAAGCAGCAGGTCGAGTGGGTCATTGATTATTCACTTGAAGCTCTAATGGTTGAAATGTGAGGTATGGATGGAACTAGCTGTTAGCACTTCATCTCTCGTTATAGAAAACCATAATCAGGAAACTGTCCATTTACAAACCTAATGATATCTCAGCTGAGGCACAGCCATCCAGAGAGAAGACTCTAATGGTCTTGGTATTCTTCAAACAAAGGACAATCTAACAATCTACTTTATGCACAGTAATTGGCCAGGTATGAGGAAAGAAGGTTTGAATATCCCTTTGCCTCTACTAAAGTACATCTATTGCTATTTATAATTACCACCGTGTGCAGCATCGTAAATGTGGTGATTGCTGCGCTGAGTTCACGCTGACATGCATCACTCTCCCTCATAATCACATCCTCCCAAATTGGCGGCGTGTTTACACTGCAAAATGTCTGTGCAGGTTCTCAGTCATCCACGTCATGGACTTTACTCGGTTGAAGATGTTGAAGACGCTTCACCTCTCTGAAAGGCGTCCTCAGTTCAGAGGAGAGGTGAAACGTCTTCAACATCTTAAACCGAGTCCAGTTGGCTTTGAATTAAGCTGCAAGGTTTCCAGTCTCTCCGTCTGCTCTGTCTTTGCCATGCACTGGTAATGTGCTATTGATTCAGCTCCACCAACCCAAGCAACCACCTGTAGGCTCTGATTAGGAGGGGGGGGGGGGGGTGAGGGGGTGTTGAGATGTTATCCAATCACACCTTAGATTTCTACATGTTAAAGAAATCTGGGAGGAGTGATGAGGTCAGCACTCGACCCCCCAAACAGAAACAATGTTTTGATACAGCAATCAACATTTCCAACCATGACAAACGTGTGTTGTCTGACTGAAACGGCAGAAGAGGGTTTTCTGGCACAACCTCACCAACTACACATGTGCGTGGGGAGTAAGGCCCCGTGTCCACCTAGCGTTTTTTCTCATTGTTTTCAATGGTTAGAGAGCGTTCGCAGCTTAAAGCGTCCCGCCTTGGTGAAAAGTGCAGAGCCCAGCTTCTTTTTTTTTTTACAAGCGGCCTGCAGTTTAAGTGCGGCCACTCCGAGCGCTCAAGTTGAAAATCTTTCAACTTTTCGGAAAGGCGCTGTTGACGTCACCGGAGCTCTTTTCATAATGTATGATATTCCCTGTACGTAAGTCTCCAACGGATATAAAACATACAGTAAAAAGTAACGGAGTAGTGTCGGTCATACAGCGGCCGTTGTGAACAGACTGTAACAGTGATCATAGAGACAGGACAGACGAGCAGCGCTTTTTTTTATCTTTCTGCCCGGAAAAAACGCTAGGTGGACGCAAGAGGCTTGAAGAAGTCAAAAGGCTCCAGCAACACTTAAAGTAGGAAAATCAACTTTATTAACTTTATTGGACCAATAATCATAAAGCTGATCTTCACACTTCAAGTGTTGTCTGACTGAAACAACATTATTAAGGATTGAGGATACTGTTTTTCCTGATGGGATGCTTTAAAATGACAGATACATCATATTCTTAAGGGGGAAAAAAAACCCCACAGCTGAAAGATCAGAATCAAATATGTCCATTTATGAATGAATGTTTAACTCTTCAAAATTCTCAAGGTAAAAGAATAACACAGATGTGATGCTAAAGAGGTAGAGAAAGCATTATCAAACAAGAAATACATTTTTTAAGCAATGGAAAATCCAAAATATCTATGAAAAAAATAAAGCTGGCACTGGAATAGAGCTGCAGAAATAGAATGAAATTTCATCTCAAAGCAAACGTAGGCAAAAAATTGCAAAGCGATCAAATATAGTCAAACAAACAAGTCGACCAACAACGATGCAGAGTTGTGATGCGTGCGAGGGAAAACAAACATATACAGTACACATTTGGTCAATTTAAAATCAGCTTGCTGTTGAAACGGGCAGCGGATCTGAGCAATCAAGCACAGGCTGCAGAAAACCTGCCACCAATTACACGAATGGATCAGTACATTGGAGAAAGGCCACGGTGCATGAAGCATGAAAGTACAGCAATAAACACTGTGACCAAATATTTCTCTTGTTTTGATTCAACTCTGGAGCCTTTACTGGCTATGCAGAACAAGTGGATGTTGTACTTAAAAGGGGAGTCATAGTCATGTAATAAAACGGGATCACAATGTTCTTAGGCTGTGTTTTTTTCCTCCTGAGCATCAACCTCCACAAACATGTAATAATCCAAACACATTTAAGGACATTTTTGAATAACAGTTCTGCATAATTGCAGTCAATGTGAGAATAAATGTAAAGGCTCAAAATACGTTAGATTTTCCTGCAGCTGCATTAAATCCTAATCTGTCACAGTAAAGGATTATGTTTAAATATAAATGCAACACCTGGAATCATATGAAACAACATTCCTTTTCTGCTTTTCCTAAATCGCAGCTCAACCTTCACCGTCTTTCTCGGTGAGATATTTCTTACTTTTTGAAGGCACACGCAGGTTGGACATGACGACCACCATGGAGTCCGCCTGAACCCGGAGCACATAGGAGGTCACATTTTCATAATCCAGAGGTTTAGCTGTGGAGATGACGCCTGTCCTGTTGTTCACCTCGAAATGACCTGAAGCAAACAAAATCAGAGAACATGATTGCAGAGAGAAAAAAAAAAAAGGACAAAAACTGAGACATAGTGGAGAAAAAATGTCTAGCAGCATAGTTAAGCCTCCTTTTATAAACATCAAAGTGTGCTGATAAGACTTATCTAACTTGGCTTTTGTTTGCACTCTTTTGGCGCTACTCATCTCAGCATTGTTAAAAAGCCACTCCTGCAGGTATAACACTTGAATGCATTTATACTCCTTCACAGGACCTCTTCTCTTCACGGCCAATTGGTCTTTTAGTGTAGAGCTCAATAGAATATTTTTACTAACTTCCATGCACAAATGACAGAAATTTGAAGCTGTGTCATCTTACAGTTGTAAATATCCACATGCGCTATATCTAAAAAATAAAAATAAAAGTCTGCAGTGAGTTCCAATAAGGAAATAATATACAAACAGCATGGAATTGAACAGAGGCTGCCTAAGTGATGGATGTTCAAACTTATTTTGCAGCTGAGTGACTGTTTAGTTGGCGCACTGACAAAGGGGCATATCACAGAAATACAGCTGGCTGTTTTTTTTTGCCTCCTTTAATGGAATAGAAAGACCCTAACTCCTCTGTGGCTTTGTAAAAAGGTCATGCTTCAAAACGCCTTTGCTTCCCTTCAGAGCAGTACTGCTGGGGGGGCCGGGAGGTTGATTCACAGAACTCTTAATAGGTCTGGAGTTTGCAATTTCCAGGAACATGTGAGGAAAAACTGAGTCTTGTTTCTGCATGACAAAGACAAAGATCCTCTGGGGGAGCCCATGTGGTTCATAGTGGAAAGGGGTTAATGGCTGCCACTGTGCTTACTGCTCCCGCTCACAGGTACGCCTCCTAATTCTGGCTTGAATACCAGAGCTTACTTTGAACACGTCTGCTGTGCCCTCTCTCTCTCTCTCTCGGGGTGTAATTATGCTTTTCACACTTTTCAACATTTGCGAAAAAGCGCAAAAAAAAAAAATCCTTTTCTCTCCTTCGACACAAAGACAAGACGCTGCAGCACATAACACTACGATGTGCATGCCACGTTTTCCAGAATGACATGGGAGCTTCTCCAGGAGTATTTCAAGGTTTTCTGGTTGGTTAAAAACATGTTTTTACGCATACTTCTTTACTGTGATAAAAATCTTTTTTTTTTTTTATGTCTGCTTTTGTCCGAGAAAAGCCTTTTGTAAAAGTTGGAAAAAAAAACACAGAATAGAATCTTTATGTAGAAAAAAATCAAACAAGGACGAGAGAGGGCTTTATACTCCAACAAAAAGGCTGTATCATTATTTAAGTTGGTGTGTCTGTCAGGAGTACAGGAGGAAGAAAAACTATTTTACTGTAAAGTAAATGATGCAATCGTTGTATATGCCCTCTAGTCTTAATTTAAAGGGAATATGAGAGTGTATTGTAGATGAATCATTAGCACAAACCTAGTTCATTTCCAGCCACTATGGAGTAGAAGATGGTTTGGTTGATAGCAGCAGCTAGGATTGTCCCCACTGCTGTGCCGCTCGGAGCCAGCTCGCTAACAAGAGCAAACCTGGAAAGACAAAGAACACAAATCATAGCACATATGTTCTGTTACGCAAAGAAGGCTTTGTTAATACTCTTATCACTGTGTGTTTTTTTTTACTTTATCAGCAAAGAGGAGATCATTTTCAATGCTTTTTCCTCCTCTTTTGGTAATGAATTATCCCTAAAGCTGTTTTCACAGAATGCATACAGCCTGCCCCTGAAATGTTCCTGAGTTATATTCACATACGTCCCTAACAGCATGAAGTGTTCCCTGTGAAATGGTAGAGCAGGGCCCTAAAGAGGCAGGACATGACTTTAAAATGACATTATAATGCTGAGAAAATAATCAAGATGGCAGACAAGGCACAGTCCAAAGCAATAATGACAGTTTTTCCTTTCATGAAAAAATAAGGGCAACATGTTATTGCACGTATCACAGGATCAACTAGATAGCAGAGAACAAACTGGCTGACAGAATATAAAACTGCTCCTTTACATGCATGACATTCACACAGGTCACTCGCTGGTCACGTGACATAAATGTCATCGCCCCCCCCCCTCCTGATCTACTGTGGGGAATTTTGCTGATTTTTAGTGCTGTGTTCACACATCAGCCCACCCTGACTTGACGTGGAAAAAAATCTTTACTAAGAGGTTGGCAGGATCATTTCTGTGTAAAGTCAGGGGTGGAAAATTTGGTTGTTTGGGTTCACACATGCAGCTCACCCTGATCATTTTGAGACATTTTCAAGAGTTGTGTTCACGTGTGAAGGGTGCGATCCTATAATCTGCTTTGAATGAAATTTAGGTCTAGAAATTAACCATTCGTAACATCACAATTAAACTGATTGATGTTTTGTTCCAATGAGAATATCTTTTTAGTTTTAATTTCTCTGTTCAAGTGTGGTTTTTCCAGTTCACTTTAACTACACTGAAGTCTCCAGATGGCAGTACAGCACATTATTTGATCCTCTTTTATCAATGAATAAATAAACGATCTCCATCTAAGGGAACACAATGTAGTTTGGGTAAAAATATGACTTGTAAATAAAGAATCCAAAACTTCATGTTCTTATGCCAAAATCCCTCCACATACACAGCAGCAGCAGCAGTAATAATGTTGGCTGTGTATCTTTGGAAGCAGATACGTTATAACATGAGCCAACTTCTCACTTTATTCATTAACCCAGTGGATATTTCTACACTGAGTGTATGGTAGGGCTGCAGAATGAAACATAATTTAAGTTGCCGCGATTCGAGCATTTGCAATAAAAACATTTCACAAGTCTGAATTTATTGCAATAAATAAGAACGACTATTTAAACAGACAAGCAATGCCTTCTCAATCAGCTTCAGACATCGAACTTGAGGTTCATTTTTCAGCTCATGAACGAGATTTGAGTGTCGCTCACCCTGGAGATGGTGAACAAGGTACCAAGCACTGTGTGCCAAAGTCAGATATAAAACACTGGGAATGTATCGTACATGATGACATCTGACCAATAGAATCCCTGGCATGAAATATAAAGTTTGGTTACACTTTCAGTATGCTTTTTTTTATATTTTTCTGTGATAAATGTATATTATACATGCCTTTTTCACAATGCTTTTAATCTGAATTGTTGTCCAGGACAGTTGTGTAGAGATGAAAGTCTCTTTAAAAAGCTCTGTAGCTCTCTCTTGTGGACCCTGCTGAACTGTCTTTGAAACAAACTCTGTTATAAATCATAGGCTGCAGGTAAGCTATGTTAATAACTTAAAAACATCATGTTATAGGCAACATGTATTCCTGTTTGATCGCCCTCACGTTCTTTGCCTCCCTTCCTCTCTTCTGTCTCCCACTGAATACTGTTGTTTTTTATGCCTGTATATTAATTAAGAACCCGTTTATAACAAAGACAGTTTCAATAAACCCCAACCCTGAAGCCTGTAAAGGAACTGAAACCATCTCTGTATAGGTATAGCAGAGGTGCTAAATGAAGAGTAATTAATATGCATTCTTCATTGACATGTTTTAATTAGGCCTATTTATGGCTGAGCACAAGATAGAATCGATCCTCATGAAATTTTAATAGTACAGGTATAGAGTTTATGACCTTAATTTGGGTATAACTTGAGAGTGAATGATGACTACAGGGAGAGATGGGAGCTGTGGCTCAGTTGATAGAGTTTGTCGTCTCTCAACGGGGAGGTTAGGGGTTGAATCCCACATGTGCGATGTGTCCTTGTGCAAGACACTTAACCCCAAGTTGCTCATGCTGCTTTGTCGGTGGTGTATGAATGGGATTAGTTACCTCTGATGGTCACTTTACACAGAAGCCTCTGCCATCAGTGTGTGAATGGGTAGGTGTGACATGCTGTGTCAAAGCACTTTGAGTAAGTCGAAAAAACTGGAAAGGTGCCAAAGCAGCTGAAGTCCATTTACCTTTTACCATAGTCCTGACTGCTTTGCTCAGGTGGTATGGGCAGTAAGGGTAAGACCATCGGTATCGTTAAAGAATCACAGCAGCTTTTGGTTGGTTCTGCAGGACCTGCAGCCTCTACAACACAACCCATATATGCAGTTTTCAGTCTAGAAAGAAAAATCTACAAAACATTAAAATGCTTTTATTTTGAATCCTTCTGAATAAACTGATTTTTGTAACAGGATTCTCTTTGTGCAAGTTTAAACAAAGAACCTCTCTCCATCCAAAATCTGACTGCCAAACAGGCTGTTTTTTATTATTTTTTGCCATCGGATGAATAATTAATATCCATAGAGAAGATTTGATCGTAAATGCAGCACAAATTGTTCTGTGAACACATTGGAGTGTTTTTTCCCCCCACTGATAAGATACACTTTGCAACAGCTAATGACTCTGCTGACTATCAGGCACAGAAGTGGGTAATCATATCCAGCAGATATGATTGTCAGCGCTCTACACAGAAATTATGGCTGCAATAAATAGCAGAGAGCCCTGTCGTTGCAGTGTGTCGGTGAGGGCTGATTTAAGCTGATAATGTCATGTCGCTGTGACACCCTCTTGTTATACTGCGACTGTGTTCCCCCCACTTCTGTGTGAGCGTGTGCGTGTGTGTGCGTGTGTGAGAGAGAAAGTGAATTTGGGCATGCATGGTTCAAAGTTTGACTTTGATTCGCAGCAGCAGTAAGAAATCTGTGACAATGACGTGGGAGTAACACTTGCTCCATAATCAGTCAGATTCTATTATACAGTCAATGTCAGTGTAAAAGGGTATTTTGGGGAATAGAAGCTATCTTGGCAGGCAGTGTTTTAAACACAGACTGGAGGCAATTGGACGCCTCAGGTCTTTGTTTATAACACATTTTCCAATGCTTTCATCTCTCTAGTCTTCGCTGACCCCTCAGCTCTAGCACATTTAACCACATGAATAATAAAAACTACCCAGAGAGGCAAAATGCGGTCGAACCAAGTTCCCCTCCTGGGTTTTTTTTTTTTTTTTGGGTTATTTTATCAAGCAACTCCCCCTTATAGGATTACACTTGTGAGAGGCTCCACAAGGCATACTGAGCCAATTTCCCAGGGTGAAGATGGAGAGTAGGAAGAAGTTATTCCACAGAAACAGAGAGGAGTGTTTGCTGAGGGGGATACACAGGTGTAGAGACAATAAATGACACTGTCTTGGAGCTCACTGGAGTATAACGACACACTCAGTAACTTTTTAGACAGCTGGTAGCAGGTATAAAAGAAGTCACTATAGACAATGTGTTTAAAGTTTCAGAGGCATACAAAAGGTGCAAACTGTATGTTCTTGAAGGACATGGAGTAAAAAAAATAAATAAATAAGAAGATCTGTCTATCCATCGTGGAGGCTACAGTTACATTCTCTGGAGTCAAAACAACCCCAAGGACACCTCAAGTTTAGATTAACTCCGGAAATATATAACATCCACGAGGCAGACGATGAAATAGCACGCTATCCTCAGAGATTAAACTGTCGAGTGTATATGCAGCGATGAACTGACTGAAAACCAAAGCCCTTCAAGCGAAATAACGTGCTGTTGTTGACACGTGATTAATGTGTGTAAATGACTCCTGTTCAATTTCCCCTTTAGGCCTACTGTTGGGCTGTCACTGAATAATTGCTGTATCTGTGCAATGCATTATGGAGCATAAATCTCCACAATGTTACACGATTGAAAGGAACCAATTTGTTTATGTGGCCTTCACATACTGTATGTAGCTTACCAGTTTGGCAGCATGAGGTAGCAGGCCCTTGGACATTGTGAGCACAGTAACATGTAGCAAAAGCCAACTGTAGGTTAATCACATAAATGTACCGATAAAAGGAACAAAAGTGTGACACAGATGCTGTCGTACGCTCTATGTACCTTCTCTTTAAAGCACCTTTCAGTAAAGCAATGTCTACTGTAAAGAGGAACAGCCGTTAAGTCCATATACCGTTGGTTAAATGAGACGGTTTTCATCACACATTCACAACAGTGTGATGTCGATAACGGAGAGATTCAAACACTAACCATGTTCATGGCACACACTGCAGAGGCAATTTAATGTGATGAATTCTTTCAAATGGCAATTCATAAGCCTACACACAATATGGTATCAGACAGCATTGTCTGATTGCTCATTTTTTACTATTCTCAGAGTGTTTCTTTTTTTTACTTTAGATTAGTCTGAATCTAAATTTCCATTTAATTGACAGAGAAAATAGTTGCTAGGTACATCATTAGATATAATGCAGAGAGCATTTTATTCAGACATGTTAAGAAAACCCATACGAGTACCAGAACCTTCGTCTCATATAGCCTAAGATGTGTTATTGTGGTTCTGCTACAGCAGTCAAAGCACCAATCTCATGGGACAAAAGTCAAAGGCTAGCATAATGCTAACAACCAGTGTTTTCATGTTCTCTGTACCTCTGTATATATAATTTTTTTACACATTATCGTACACAACTCAAATCCTAGTATCTGTATCATTATCAGTAGCAAAAATAAAAGCATCAGAGGGGAGAGGCAGAAGATCACAGATACTAGTGCTGGGA